CCCCCCCCCCAGTCCATCATGAAAAGAGGGAGAGCCACCACAAGTTCGAACCCCCCCCCTTCACTGCCGCCGCTCCTCGGGACAGTTGGACAGCGGTGTGGACACTGGGACATTGGTGGGGACGGTGGTGGTGGGGACAGTGGTGTGGGGTCATTGGGACAGTGGTGCGGACAGTGCGACAGTGGTGGGGACGGTGGTGGGGACGGTGGTGGTGGGGACTGTGGCGAGGGGACAGCGGGACAGTGGTGGGGACAGTGTGACAGTGGTGGGGGCGGTGGTGGTGGGGACAGTGGTGAAGGAGGTGGTGAGGACGGTGGTGGGACAGTAGTGCAGTGGGGAAAGTGGTGAGGACAAGGGGACAGTGGAACAGTGGTGGTGACAGTGAGGACAGTGGGACAACACAGTGGGACAGAGGCGGGGACAGTGGGGACAGTGAGACACTGGTGGGGGCAGTGGGGGCAGCGGGGACAGTGGGGACAATGGGGAGAGTGGGACCGTGGTGGGACAATGGTGGGGACAGCGGGAACAGTGAGACACTGGTGGGGACTGTGGGACAGTGGTGGGGACGGTGATGGTGGGGATAGTGGTGTGGGGACACTGGGCCAGTGGCGGGGACAGTGGGGACAGTGGGACGGTGGTGGGGACAGTGGTGGTGGGGACAGTGGTGAGGGCGGTGGCGAGGACAGTGGTGGGACAATGGGACAGAGGTACAATGGGGACAGTGGCGGGGACAGTGGTGGGAACAGTGGGACAGCTGAGTGGGACAGCGGCGGGGACAGTGGGACAGTGGGGACAGTGGGGCGGTGGTGGGGTCTGTGGAAGGTGGGGAAAGTGGGACCGTGGTGCGAACAGTGGCGGGAACAGTGGGGACAGTGCGACATGATGGGGGCACTGGTTTTCTGGATGGGGGCGGGGGGGGGCTTCGAACCGGTAGTCACCACCTCCCGGTTTTCTGGAGAGGGGGGGGGGTCGAACCGGTAGTGACCCTCCCCGTTTTTCTGGAGGGGGGGGGGCAGGGGGGTTCGAACCGGAAGTGACCCCCTCCCCGGGTGGAGGGGAGGGGTTCGAACTGGTAGTGGCCCCCCTCTGGTTTTCCAGAGGGAAGGAGGGGGGAATGGGGGGGTTCGAACCGGTAGTGACCCCCCCGTTTTCCGAAAGGGGGGGAGGGAGGGGTTAGAGGAGGGGGGGGGTGCCGGAGGAAAGGGGGGTGGGTCCAGCAGGGAGGGGGGGAGATTTTCGAAGGGGGGGGAGCCCCGGGCTCCGGAGGAAGAGGGGGGGGGGATTTTCCACAGTATCGCGGCGGTGGTTCGCGCTCTCTCTCAGTCTCAGTTTTCAAGCTTCAGGGTTATAAATGGTGAGGAAGTCTAATGAGAAACGCGTGGCCCGCCCTAAAAACTGGCTTCGGGGTGCGACACGGAGAAGTTGTTTAAGGAAAAGCAATGGAAGGGGAGGAGCAGGAGAGAGGAGGGAGGAGGCGAAGCGGCATGGGCCCCCGCGAGGACCCCGCCCGCCGCCGCCTGGCGCTGCGGAGGGGCGCCCCGTGGGGGCAGCCCCCCGCCGCGCCGCGCGGCCCGCGGCCAGATGCCGGAGTCGCGCCGCTCGCCGCCGCCGCCGTCGTTGTGTTCGTCGTCGTCGTCGTGGCTGTCGTGGTTCGTCGTGCTGGTTATCGTCGTGATCATGATCGTGGTCGTCGTGGTGGTGGTGGTGGCCGTCGTCGTCGTGGTGGCGGTCGTCATCGCCGTCGTCGTCGTGGTCGCCATCGCGGTCGTCGTCATCGTCGTCATCGTTGTGGTCATGGCCGTCGTCGTGGTTGTGGTCGTCATTGCTTCTCGAGTTGGGCTGGCTGGCCTCTTCGCCTGTCGTGGTTTCTCTTTGAGGTACCGCGGTCACGGTTCCCAAACCGCTCCCACAGCGTCAGCACAATGCAGCTTTCGTGGTCGTCGCGGGCGTTGACTTCGTGTTCTTCGTGGTCATCCTCGTAGTCGTCGTCACCGCGCTTGTCGTCGGCATGGTTGTCGCCGCCGCCGTGGTGGTGGTGGTCGCCGTCGTCGTCATCGTCGTCGTGGCCTGGCACGGCGCCCGCCCTTCCGAACGTTTCCTGGAGGCCTCCAACACTCTGGCCTAATGCTTGCATGGCGTTGTTGTGCATCCTGGCGCAAACGATGCGATCCGATTCCGACTCCGTGCCGATTCGGCCCGATCCGACGCACATTCCGACTCGATCCGGATCCCCGATTTGATGAGCATGGATCTTGGTTGCGGTCGAAGAATTTCTCATATATCTCAAGCCCAGCCTTGGTTGCCCTTGGGCCAAAGACCACCAGGAGCACCCAGGGTACATTAAGGCATTAAGGGCCCCCTCTCATGACATCTGGCAGACAGTTGTGTAATTTAATGTTGATATGCTTCGAACGCCATAGGTTTTTGACGGGTTTCGGCTCGCGCGCCTGGCGGCGCGCGCGTGGCCCGAATGGAATTGCGTGATACGGTTTCGTTCACTGGGCGGATGCTCTTATCATCGCATATGCACCTCGTGATTAAACGAAGACGCGGGTTCTGCATGAACTTGCCTTGGCCGTACGGTTTCTCTTGATTTCAGCAGGTGATCGCGGAAAAAGTATTGCATTATTGATTTGAAGCACGTAAAACGTTGATGTGTTGAAAAAATTGCACAACGAATGTCATCCTCCTGCTTCGCGGGGTGCACGTCCAGAGCACGTACAGTCCAGTCATTGCGGGGCCTGGTGGGCCTTTGTTGGGGCCTCTTGGAGATCTCTTGGGGGCGCGGTGCCTCATTCCGCTGGACCCACCAGCAGCCCTCGAAAGTGGGACAGTTTCGCAGATCGCAGCCCCCCAGGGACGGCGAGGTCTCGCTCAGATCTGCGCGGTGCCTCGCCGCGCTGGACCCACCAGCAGCCCTCGAAAGTGGCGACAGTTTCGCAGATCGCAGCCCCCCAGGGTCGGCGAGGTCGGAGACAGGTACCGCAAACAATACGCACACACAAGCAGCCATTACGTACAAGGCAGAGAGGAGACAGGAAGGAGGGGGGCGGGAGGCATGAGGCGGGAGGAGAAGGAGAAGGAGAAGTCGAGACAGCAGCGCTGTATTCAAAACGAATTCCCACCCAAGGAAGGTTTGGGAAAACAGCATGGTCCAACAGAGCGTCGAAAGGCCCCACGAAGCTCCCAACTCGGCCCAAGCCCACCAGAGGACCGCCGAAATTGTGGAGCATTTACAGTTTAACAACACTCGCGTCCTGCGTCTTAGCAGCCTCCCAACGGGCTACACAAGTGTGCATGACCCAAAACAGCCACGAAACGTCCCAACACTCATCCAAGCTGGCCCCATAGGTCCCGAAACCAGCCCACGAACTCCGACAAAACCCCATCAGGGGGGAAAACGATCCGACATGTTCGCGCCTCGCTTTCCTGGGGCGCCCCACGGTCCCCCCCCCCCCCAAAGGGGCCCAAGAGGCCCCAACGTATCCACAAACTCGAACATCTCCTGCCTCACAGCCCAGACGCGGTGGTGGGGTATAGCAGACAGCCACTGGATGATTCCGCCCCTCCCCTTTTTTCCTCCTTGTCCTCTGCCCCTCGCTCCTCCTCCTCCTCCTCCTCCTCCTCCTCCTCCTCCTCCTCCTCCTCCTCCTCCTCCTCCTCCCCCTCTTTTCCAGTGGCTCTCTCTCGGCTCCCACCAATCCATGATCGAAGGGGCTGCATCGAGGGGCCCCCCAACACCAGCGCCCACCTCCCCCCCGCACCAGTGGAACGGAGCCCGAATGCCAGGACCGCCTTACTGATGCAGGGAGGAGGCCCAGGTGCCTGGCTGCCCCTAAATCACCGCCCGCAGGCCGGTGGACCGAAATTCCGCCAGACCTCGGACCGAGGGGGGGGTAAAACAAACAAATCAATTCATCCTAGCTTGGCCCACCACTCCGCCTCCTCCTGAGGCGCGAGTATCAGTGGCCAGGGCGCGGAGGTCTGCCCCCTTGCAGGTATGCAGCGTCCCCTGGGACAGCACTCCGCACTATCCGCCAGGCCGTGCCCCCCTCAACGCGAGGGAGGACCGTCGAAGCCGCTCCCTGGGGGGCGAGGTATGCCGCTCACTTTCTCTGGCTATGTTTTTGTTGTTTTCTCTCTCTCTCTCTCTCCCTCTCTCTCTCTTTCTCTATTTGCCTGCGGTACCTGTCTGGGACCTCGCCATCCCTGGGGGGGTGCATCTGCGACGCTGTCGCCACTTTCGAAGGCTGCTGGTGGGTGCAGCGGGGTGACACACCGCGCAGACCTGAGCGGGGCCTCGCCGTCCGTGGGGGGGTGCGATCTGCGACGTCGTCGCCACTTTCGAGGGCTGCTCGTGGGCCCGGCGGAGTGAAGCACCGCGCAGACCTGAGCGGAACCTCGCCGTCCCTGGGGGGCTGCGATCTGCGACTCTGTCGCCTTTTCCGAGGGCTGTTGGTGGGTCCAGCGGAGTTAGACACCGCGCAAACCTGAGCGGGACATCGCCGTCTTTGGGGGGCTGCGGTTTGCGACGCGGTCGCACTTTCGAGGGCTGCTGGTGGGCCTGGCGGAGTGAGGCACCGCGCAGACTTGAGCGGGACATCGCCGTCTTTGGGGGGCTGCGATTTGCGACGTTGCCGCCGCTTTCGAGGGCTGCTGGTGGGTCCAGCGGAATAAGGCACCGCACGGAAGTGGCGACGGCAGGGCCGGGGGCGGCGCCCTGTGCGTGCGACGACGACGACGACGGCGATGATTCGTTCGCCCGCCACAGACCATTGCCCTCGTCAAAGGGGAAAACCCAGCCCCTCAGAGGGGCAACGGCCAGGCGCTGCGCCTATGTGGGGCCAGCAGGCAGGGGGCACTTGCTGGGGGGATCAGAGCCTGACCCCCCCCGTGCTCCGAAGGCGCACGCAGGGGGGGGCGCCCGCCACGCCTTCGCCGCGCAGGACGGGGCCTTCGACTCTGCAGGCAGCCGCGCGGACTAGCGCCCGCCGCGCCAGGCCTACACGGGGGAGACCGTCGACCCTGCAGTCGGCCAAGTGGACGAGCGCCAAGCGGGAAAGCAGTGAAAACGCTGCTCGAGACCCCAGATCGAACCCGCTGACCAGCCCGGCGCCCCCCTTGCGCCACTGTCGCCGCGGGGGGGGATTACCTCCAGCGCCCCAGGTCCGTGCAGACGGGGGGGGGGCAGCCGGCGGCCCCAGATCGACCCCGCCACGCGGGCCCAGAAAAAGAGCCAGCAGGAAAGCCGCTGCAGGCTGCAAGGCGGGGCGAAACCCCCGCGGTGCCGCATCTGCAAATGCGAGGGCCGAGCAGACAAAGCGGGCGGCGCAAGGGGGAGATGCGGCAAGGTCTGCGCGCCTTCAGCCCGTGGCGCTGCCGCCATTGCAGCCAAGGCATTGACGCGCGGGGCAGCAACGGGCGCGCCGCTCACCGCGCGGCGAGAGCGCGGGCAAACGATCGGCAGAGGGCCGGCCTGCGCAGCATCGGGCTGCACGCCGGCACTCGCGCCTGTAGCAGGAGAAAGGCGCGCGGAAGGGCCGGGCCGATTCGCTGCTGTCGACCGAGTCTGAGAGCTGAGAGCGGGGCGATGGGCTGCAGCGTGGCGAGGGGGATGTGCCGCGATCCTCCTGGCGCGACGCTGGGCCCCGACCCCTCGCGGAGCAATGCCGTTACTTCCACCGCCAACCCGACGCGACTGGGCGACGACTGGGCGGGGCCGCGCGCTGGGTTGCACCATTCCAGTCACGGGAGCGGTGACGCAGGCAGGCGCAGCTCAGGAAGACGGGCTTGAAGGGTCGGCCGCGGCCCCCTTGCCCTGCTGGAAAGCGGGGGCACCGTGCCCGCCCGGCCGCGGCGGGCCCCGTGCCCCCGTCGCGGGGGGGCCCCCTCGTGCCCCGGCAACCCGCCCTCTGGTGGGGGAGGGTCCGCGGCTGGTTAGGCCGCGACGCCCCCCCCCCCATCTCCAGGCTCGACCGCGGCGCGGGTCGCCCCCCCAGGAGCGGTCGGCGCCGCCGCGGCCGCGCGGGGGGCGCCGAGACCCCCTCCCCCCGCGCGGCGGCGGATCGACGACGGCCCCGCCCCCATCATCAGAGTCAGCTGCAGCGACAGGACCACCATCCTCATCGCCCCAATGAGCCCAGGGCCCGCGTTCAACGGACAGGCCTGCGGCCTTGGGGTGGATCCTTTTGCACATCTGTTGCCAAGAATATGTTTGCACCTGCGCCGTTAGGAATACGTTTGAATTTGTCGCGCACATTCCCAGCCCTGCCACGGGCGCTGTAATAAGCTTCGCACTTGAGACTTAAGACAGACCGCTTGGGCGGAGCCATCGGAGACGCCCAGCGCAATGCACTTGCGCCCTTTAGCGAGCAAAGGCCTGGGCATCCAACCTCAAACGACCAGGGCACCTGCCAGCAGGCGGCGGACATCTGGCACCACGTGGATATGGGTCGGCGGGCGGGGCGGGGCGCGGCCTCCTCGCGAGCCTTTGAGACGAAGCCTGCGCTTCCAGAAATTACTGGTTCGCTGCCAGCTGCGCACCTGCAGGACAGGGGGCTGGAGGGGGGGGGGCCTTTCATCACCTAAAGCTAACGGCCCCCATTGGGGCGGGAGTCGCGCCGCGAGGGCGCCCGCCGCGCGGGCGACCGCGAGAAGTTGGCCCAGTCTTTCCGCCTCTTCAGCCGATGGGCCAGGGTGCGAAGACGCGGCGACCATGGCAGAAACATTCAAGTTGTTACGCAGCCAAAGGAATCGATCATTCGCATCGGTCGCTTCCTCAACCTTTACATGGGCCTTGACCTCGTTCACTCGCGCGGGGCGAGTCATTGCGGATGAGCAGCGCGCAACCAGCATTATTGTTCTTATAACTACATTGCTTGTCCTACGGGGGCGCCGCAAACTTCGCGACATTGACCCATTCCGAATTGATGGTGGAGGCGCCGGACACGAGCTTAACCGCGGCACAAACAGTGTGGTATTCAGCATTTTTGGAGTGTCGGGGCAAGGGGGCCATCCTGGTCCTCGGATACGGATCATTTCGTCGTGCTCAACTTCTTCGACGAGGGTGGCCGCCTAGCCCGCGCGCGCAAGCTCGGGGGCACGGCGACGCAACGAGGGTCCGTCGACGAAGATCTCACCCAGAAAGTCCGAGTCGAAATCGACATGTTCGCACCCCTCACGCAACTCTGTGACCGCAGCTTGCTCGAACAGGGGCTGCGGAACCTGTTCAGCAGGATGATGTAGAATACCGTGGCAGACCTGGGCGTCGTCCGCCTCAGCTGCCCACAACTAAACCTGGGCTGGCGCGAGCTCATTCCCGCGGGCAGCGCGAGCCGTGCGTTCCCACAGCGCGTGGCGCAGCGTGTCCTGGGCAGCAGCAGGGGCGGAAAGCTCGCACTCCGTTGCGATCAGATGCCCCTCGCCCTGGCCCTCGTCCACGCGGCGCCACAGAAGACCGAACGAACGCATTCCCCAGGGCATTCAGTCTGGGCGAAGTGATCCGAGGCAATATCCCGTTCGCGCAAGCTCTGCCCACGCTGAGGCGCACTCCGAGGCCCCGTTCAAGGACGCGCGCGCTAGCGCGGAGCAGGAGATAACGGGCAATGGCAGGGGCATTTTCGCGAGGTGGATATCGAACAGTGCATGGCCCATGACAGACGTTCGAGCGACCTTCTCATAGCGGTGATGGGCCCCTGGGCCGGCCGCCGCCACCCCGACGGGCGGGCAGAGACATTTTCCCAAGCTGCGCGGGGCGTGGCGATCGATGGGTCGCCCAGACCTCCTTGGCCCATCGGTCGATCGGAGCAGTGGCCGCCCCCGCAAGAGGGTCGCCATGGCAGATCACGGGGGCGGCGAGCGATCTGCCTCCCGCGCTAGGCGCGGGGGCCTTGCCAGCTAGCCTGCGCAGCGCCAGCAGCTCAATGTCAGTGACGCCAGCGAGGCCCATGCCACAGGCGGCGCCAGGTAGAGGGCCCGCACAGAGGACCCCCTTGATACGGTGGCCCGAAAAAGTCGGCTCAAGACCAACTAGACGACGAGTCGTATCCGCGGTTTTCTTCCTCTACTCCTTGGTCTTAGCTGGGCGCCCAAGTCATCGAGATGGCCTACCACCGGCGTCGTTGACAGCTAAGTTGACGACGGAGACTGCGTCTTTCACGAGCCCCGCGAAGCCCCCCATGACCCTGGCAAGGGCCCTAGTTAGATTTCTAGACGAATGCACCAGGGCAAGTTTATCCACGCCGATCTGCGCGCCAACTCCTTGAACCAGGGCGCGATGCAAGAATTCGGCGGCCGCGGGCATGGAGGCGCGGATAGCCTTGGCGGACCCCCGCGCTGAACCTCCCATCGTCAACGCACAGCTTGAAGTGAACGATGGGAGGGGGGGCCCTCGCCTTGAACGTATTCAAGGCCTGAGTCGCATTAGCCCGCATGACGGCGGTGGCCAGGGGGCACCCAGCAATGACCCCCCATCAAAGCCCAGAAGGGCCCATCCGCAAAGCCAGCCAACGACAAGAAACGGGCTTGGCAATACATCGTAGTACATCGATTCGACCCCCAGAGGAAAGCTCGTCTGGTGGCATCGCAGGGCAAGCGCCTGAAGATCGTGTCAGAAAGGAGCGTGGCCCCCTCCCCCCCCTCAGCGGTGATGCCCTCTGCGCGCGCCGCTTGGCGCCAGACGACGTCCTGGGCCCCTCCAAAGGATCCCGCACAGAAATGCGAGCGAAGGGCGCTCCGCTCCCACTCGTCCGCGGGTGGTCGGCGGAGCTTACCGCTTCCCGCTCATGCGGGAAACGCTGCAAGAGATACGAGTGGATCTGATGTTTTCAGGGCGACGAGGACGATGGCAATCTGCGAGGGATTAGTGGCCGACCTCTCCATGAACGAGAGAACATCACGCAGCAAGCACAACGCATCCTCCGACATCACCTTTAAAGTGGCGCATGCGAAAACCATCCACAGCGACAGCAGTATCATCGCGGAACGAACGTGAGATGGAGCAAGTTGTTTCCACTTGGAAGGGGGTGGCTGGTCAACACCCCCGGGGGGGCCAAGCCTGCTCTTGCCCATCCTTCCGAAGGCCCGAGAATCGTTTGTTTGCAGCTTCAAGGAGCGACAGAGGGTCCGCGACCACCACCCCGTCCTTGGACAAGGTGGTGGTCAGGACCCACGGTGTGGGGCCCTTCGAGACCGCGCGAATACGCTGGGCCCCCTGATCATCACGGTGCAGCAGCAATTCGCTCCAACACGAAGCCGCTTCGCGGCGTGCACCGGCGTCGACCTCAGCCGAGCGCCGGTCGAGCAAAGCCTGCCAGGCGGCAAAGTCGTGAGAGAGAAAAGCAGGCCCTGGGGTCGCTGGCCGCGCTCCATCACCTGGCGCTGCTCGGGCTGGTCCGCCCGCAGGTAGGCCATCGGCGGCAAAATCAGACCTCGTGCAGCTCCCCGCCTCCCTGAGGTATGGCAGCAGATGTGGGCTAGACTACGGCCGCGGCTGGCTGAGCGAGCGCGCAGAGAAGAGCGCCGAGCTCCGCCAGGTCCTCGGCAGACCACGCGAGGTTGAGCCGCTGCGCCTGAGCACTGAGCCACCGATGAGCGAATGAAATGGGTTGCTTCGGGGTACGCGCGCCGGGGCCCAACATATCCTTCCAACGAAGCTGTGGCTTCGATCCCTGAGAGTCCAATTACGCCAACGGCGTGCCCGTCGCAGCAGTAACCTCCTTTTCCGCGTGGTTAGCCCAAAACCGATAAAGGGCATCAGTATTATCCTGGATGCCTCCGAAGTCCCCCGAAGACACAGCAGTCCGAGCCTGGTCCAGCACGCGGGCGACGACCGAGGCGCCCACAGCAGGCACATGGTCGACAGCAGCGACAGGGGGGACCGCCCTGGAAGGGAGTTTCGGCGGACGACGACGGTGATCATGTCCCTGTGCCGGTGATGGAGGTGGCTAGCTGATGATGGTGGCGTTGGCGGCGATTGACGACGACGGTTGCAGCGGGGATGCGGTGGCGCTGAGGTGCAAGACAATTGGCGGAAGTTTGAAGCTCTCTGGGTTTTTGGTTCACATGTTGTTGGGAGATGTGTGTTGAAGAAGATGTTTCGGGGGCCTTTATAGTTGTGCACGGATTTCGACATGCGCGTGGCTGTGCGCGTGCAGCCCGCAGTGTTTTCATCGATGCGATTTGGCGCATGGGCCAAAGCTAGTTCAGCACAAATGTGCCGAGTGGTGAGATGGGACTGGGGGGGGCGGGGTGATAGAACTCTTCTTTGAAAAGGAGAGAATATGAGGTGCAAGCTACGCGGTGCACTCGGCAGCGGGCCCCACGTGGGTGCCCACGAGCGCCGACCATCCGAACCTTTCGCGGACCCAGCCATCGCACGGGGCCCATCACCCGATTTTTTTTGCGGACACTATCCAGCTGCCTGCAGCAAATCCGGCCACCGTGCATCTGCAACAGCGTAGCAGCAATGTTTTCAAATTGTTAATATCTCGCATATCCAACCAGCCTATCCGGGAACGATGCCCAAGGGAGCTGCCCAGATCGGGGGAACGTGGCATATTTTGGAGAGCTCGGGAGGCCTCCGCGGGCCAGAGGCGTTTTGGATGCCTTTCGGAGTTCTCTCGGAATGTCTCCCGGGTTTCGTGGGGAGCATTTGGGGGCATCTTGGGAGGGTCCTGGCGGTTTGGGGGGACTTCTTGTGGCGCCTCGGGGGCGTTTTGGAGGCCTCTTGGTACGCCTTGGGAGCCTCTTGGCGGTTTTCGAAGCCTCCTGAGACGTCTTGGGGATCTTTTGGCTGCCTCTTGGGAGCCCCTTCTCTTGGGTCCCGCTGAGGGGTTCTTGGGCGCCCCTCGAGGGGTCTGTTTTGACCTCCCTCGGGGGGGTTGTTTTGACCCCCTTCAAATGGCCTGTGTTTGGCCTCGTGTTGTTTAATATGTCATCTAGTACGGAGACGTCTTCAAGATCCTCTGTGAAGGCCACGCGTAGTTCGAGGGGGTCGGCCCTAGAAAACATTCAACCTCACCAGACAGCAGAAGAGCATTCGAACACGCCCACTCCGTGCATGCACGGTGGCTGATTGATCGAACCAAGTACAAAGCCCGAAGTGCAACCATTGTTTTGGGGAAGTGTTTGGAGGTCGGGGGGGTGTCCGGGAAACCCGCGCGGATCTCCAACAGCGTACGGTTATGCACATGTGTTTCTTTCAGTTCTTTCCTTCCCTCCCTCTCTCCCTCCCCGCGCCACCGCTTCCCTGTCCGAGGTTCTCACCAGAGCATCGTCGGTTGCATACTGCAGTCACTTTGTGCAGTCAGTGATGGCTGTATGGCACCCACACTTTAGATCCATCGCCCACCTCTATTACTGTACGTGGGCTGCGTTCGCCACGGCTGATGTCAAGGAACCCCTCCCCGCGCCCCCGCGCCACTCCTCCGAGGAGCAGAGCCCCAGGAGGCCGCCGCTGCCCCCGAGGTCGGCGGAGCCCAGGCCAAGGGGGGGGGGAGGGTCGCCGCCCGCCGCCCGCCCTCGCAGCCGCCGCCCGCCGCCGCCCGACGATCCACGGGCGACGCCGACGGCGGCGGCGACCGACGGACGACGGCGGCGGCGGCGACTGCAATGGCGGCGTCGGCGGCGACGACGGCGGCGACGGCGCTCCCGCGAAGACGGCGGCAGGCGTCCGCGGCGTCGGGGGCGGCGGTGGACGATGACGACGTCGACGGTTGCGGCGGTGTCGGCGGCGGCGGCTTCGGCGATGGCATCGACGTCGTCGACGTCGGTGGTGGCGGCGACGGCGGCGTCGGCTACAGTCAGCATGGCGGCGACGGCGGCCACGGCGACGGCGACGGCGCGGAGCACCTTCGACGCAGGCTGGGGGCGGTCCAAATCTAAGGTCGGGCTCCCTCGTTGGGGGCCCGTCCGAGGGGCCTCGGGGGACGTCTTGGGGCGATAGTGGGCGTGTGGGCCGTCTTGGACGCTCTTGCGTACGTAAGACTAGAGTGATGAGAATTCGAACGCCATGTACCATATTTAGGCTGTTCGGTGATGTTGGCCCACGGCCCCACATGGGTCAAGATACCTCCGAGAGAGCCCCAGGACGGTCCCTCGGGGTCATCCTGGGGCACGTGGGAAGTGTTGACAGCCGTCCACACTCCACAGACCTCCCGCAAAGTCACGAGACGGACCGATTAGTGAAATTTTGGTTGTGTAAATTCGCAACGTTCCAGCACATTCTCGCCACTCCGAAAAGTGCCACAACGCCAGAGGGGAGCAGAGCCTCGTTGTCCTCCATGCGGCATGGACCATGCCCCATGGGTGGGAAGGGGTGAGGGCGTTGCGGAAGGGCAGGAGGCAGCAGGGAGCGGGATGGAACGGGCGAGGGTGGAATTGGAACGATGAGGGAGGACGGGGGGGGGTAGACGGGGGGAAAGTGGGACAAACGAGGCTGGCGGGGAGGGGAGGTTGACGATTGCCCAGACCCGAGAGTTCCACGGGGGCGTGATCTGTAGCCATTTGGCTCAAGCCTGGCTCGAGCAGCGGCTGCTCGAGGCATCGTTACCCATCGAGGGCGCCTCGACCCCTGGAGGCGCCCACGGGATGGAGGACGGTGGCGAGCGGCCGAGCTCCACCAAAAAGGGCAGCTCCTCCAAGAAGGTGGGCCACCGGGGTGGCGCAAAGAGGACCGATGAGGACTTCAACATCTTGGAGCGAGACGAGCTCGGCGGGGACGAGGCGAAGGCGGCGGACAGCGCTGGCGAGGAGGGCGAGGAGGAGGTGAGGAAGGCCAAGCAGCCAGCCGTCGTCCTGGAGCGGGACGACGACTTGGAGCGGGAGCTTGCCGCCCAGTTCGCCGACAACGGCCTCACCTCGAAGCAGAGGAAAGAGCTCGCGGAGCAGGAGGAGAAGCGCAAGGCGGAGAAAGATCAGAGGGAGGGCAGGACGGAGGAGTCGAAGGCCGACTTGGAGCGACTGCAGGAGCTCAGGCGCAAGAGGGAAGAGGCGGCGGCGAAGAAGAAGGAGGATGAATCGAAGGCAAAGGAGAAAGCCAAAGAGGCGACGAAGGATAAGGCCGCCGCTGCCACGGGCAAGAAGGATGCGGGGAGGGAGGTGGCGGTGGCCATCGTAGAGCTGATCGGCAAGAAGGGGCCCCTCACCATCAACCAGCTTGCGCAGGACGCAGACTGCAAGAAAGTGCTGAAGCCTCTCTGCAAGAAACACGACGTGAAGAAGCTAGATCGGCAGTTTTTAGAGAAATTCGCAGACATTTTGGACACAAAGGACGAAGGAACCAACATCCTCATCACGGGCAAGTAGCTCAAGTGAACGTAACAGTGGTTTCCCCCAGCGCACCGCTCCTGGGTTGCTTGGCGCTCTTTCGTTTCACGTTGTGGTGTCGGGTAGTCTTCTTCTCCCAAGTGAGGGCTTGGGTTCCACCAGAAGGCAGCCTCCAGCGGGCTGGTGTACAGGCCTGGTCCGAAATGATTCGCGTCTAGGACAGACGGGCCGTCCACCAGGCACGAAGTTTTCTTTCGGAGGCCACAGATCTCACCCGGCTGCCTTAGGTGATAACAGGCAGAGAAGCGTCGTCCGTGGGTTTTGGTGCATTTGCGGAGGGCGACCGACATGTAGTTGGTTCTTGGGGCCCTCTGTTGCGTCCAGTCACCTTCTCGTGGGCCGCCTTGGGGCACCGTGGGGCCTCGCAGGAGCCTCCTGGCCCCTGCCAGTGCTCCCTTGAGCCGTCTTGGAATATCTTGAGGCCTTCCTGCGTTGTTTTCGGCCCCTTACTGGGGTCTTTCGGCCCCCGGTCGGGGCGACCCCGAACCGAGTCCAGCGGAAGGCCTTCTCCCGAGCAAGCAATAATGACGATTGCCAGGAAGTTGGATCAGATGAGAAATCCGAGCCCTCCCCTCGGATGTCGCCACCGAGAGGATGCAGTATGACGACGCGGCCACAGTCTGGGCGAGGGCTGGAAACACACGTGGCCCCATGTCTGTCCAGCGCCCGGCCTCCACGGTCGGGTAGACGCTGGCCCTCCGCATGACCGCATGTGGGCACCCAGCGCGCGGCCTCCACGTGCCCCACGTGCGAATCCAGCCAGGTTCAGGGCTCGGCGATCGACGCTCGATCCGTACTCCTGCTGCTGCCCCCCACTGGATGCCAGGAGGAGAGCGGTATGGATGGAAAGCTCGGCGCCCAGGGCGGGACTCTTCTTATCCATGCCGCATGGCCCCACTCTGGCCCGACGGTTCGGGAGAACGTAAGTCTCGAGTTCGCCGGAGCTCGAGTTTGCCGACGCTTTTTGATGAGCCCGTCCTGGATTTTGACGGCTTTGTTTATTTAATCGCTTCGCTCATTCCGCCGGCCCTGGAGCGCTATTTTGGGCCTCTTGGGGCCGTCTTGGGGGCCTCTCGGGAGCTTCTTGGGAGCGTCTGGGGGCTCCTTGGCGGCGTCTCGGACCCCCCTTGGGGCCTCTTAGGGGGCTCTTGGGGGCCCCTTGGGGCGGGAGGGGGGGTAGTCGATTGCAGCCACCCCCTCGGAGGCCACGATCCTCGTGAGAAGTTGGCGAAAAATAGCCTCCCCCTTGGAGATCGCCCGGGACCGGGCCGGGGATCGGCCGGGGTACTTGTCGTCCGGGGGCCCCCAGGGGCCGCCCCGCGCGCGCGAACTAGAAATATTGTTAAGTAGTTACCAGAGATCTTAGCACGCCTCTGGCCCGTTGGGCCGGCGAATTGGATGTTCGCAGTTGGAGTTCGCATCAAATTTGAGATCGGGTCTCGTCAGGTTCCTGACGGCCCCGTCAGGCCAACCAGAGTCCCCCGAACCCGAGTCTTACGCCTCCCTGGCATGTGTGGTTCCAGCTTCCTAGCAGTACAGTGGCAGAGCATGCGAATAGCGGGTGGACGGCAAGGGGAGCGTTGTGGTGGACGGGGTGGACGAGGGGGGATGGACATCATTTGTGGGTGATTCGCGATGGAGGGCACCGTGCCAGGTTTCCCCGCGACAGGCGCAGGCGTCCCCCCTCAGGAGCGACTTTGTGGTGACAGTCTCTTCTCGCTCTGGGCCTGGCGCTGCTCGGCAATGGCTAGGGCGTGTGAAAGTCAGTGGGCACGCCAAGCCCCCAAGGAGAGCCCCTTGGGGGGACATCTTGGGGCATTCTCGGAAGCCTTGGGGCCCTCGTGGAGACCTGTTGGAGCTTCTCGGGGCCTTCACGGGAGCCTCTCATCCCCCTTGGCGTTCTTCCAGGGCCTTCTTGGGGCCGACTTTGGGGCCTATTGAGGCGTTATTGGGCAATCGAAGGGGCGTCTTGAGGCCCTCTTGGGGGGGCGTCCTTGAAACCCACTGGGGGCTTGGGGCCTTGTACATGAAGCCAAGGGTCGAGCCTTCTCTGAAGCCAGAATGATGTAACACACTTTGACGTTTCTGGAGGGTTGTGAGCCCCACCGAACTGCCCAAAGGGATCTCTGGAACCATCTTGTGGGAATACGGGCCCTCTTGGGCCATACCGCGCTCTGTGGAGCCCTCCGACAGCCTCCCGCAGCCCTCCCGGGTCCTCTCTGGGCCGCCGTCGGAGTATTCCGGGGAGAGGCTTGGTTCGCTTCAGCGATCTCGCAAAGGCCCTCCTTCAGAATTCCCTTATTGAAGGCCTTCGCGGTGGAGGTCTTGACGTCGGGCTTGGCCTATGTGTCCGCCAGGGGAGAAGCTCTGAAAGAGCGCGTTCGTGGCACACTATTCATTAAAATATGGGCCCGAGTTTGAAGCTGACCCCGCCCCTTCCCTTGGAAAATGGGGGCGCTGCTTCCGAAGCTACCCCCCCTCCTCCCACCACCCTTTTGTTTGCATGTTTTAGCTGGGGGGGCCCTAGCTAAGGGTGGGGGCTTTGTAGCTGCCCCGCCCCCTCCCTTCTTTTCGGGGCCCAGGGTCAGCCCGGGCTCCCCTTTCAAGGGGGGGTGGGCTTGCGAAGCTCCCCTCCCCTTCCTTTAGTTTGCATTTTGTAGCTGGAGGAGGGCTCCGAAAGGGGGGGGCTCTTCCGAAGCTGGGGAGGGGGCTTCCGAAGTCGTTTTGGATTCCAAAGGGGGGGGCTTCCGAAGCTACCCCCCCATTCCCCTCCTTTTGGCCTTTCCAGCTGGAGGGCCTTGGCTAAAGGGGGAGCTTCGAAGCTACTTTTTTTTTGTTCGGCGTACTTGTGGTTTCGGCGTCTGTTTGGTTCTCGGCGCCTCTTTGGTTTTCGCCGCCCCTTGGGCCTTTGGCGCCCCTTTGGTTTTCGAGCTGCCTTTGGTTTTTGGCACTCCTATGGTTTTCGGTGCTCCTGTGGTTTTCGGTGCTCCTTTGGTTTTCGGCGTACTTGTGGTTTTCTGCACACCCTTTGGTTTTCGGCGCATCGTTGCTTTTCGGCGCCCTCTTGGTTTCCGGCGCCCCTTTGGTTTTCGGCGCTCTCTTGGTTTTCGGCGCCTTGTTTATTTTCGACGCTCCTGTGGTTTCTGGCGCCATTTTGTTTTCGGCGCTTTCTGATTTTCGGCGCCACCACTTTGGTTTCGGGCGCCCTTCGGTTTTCGGCGCGCCTTTGGTTTTTGTTCGCGCTCTTTGATTTTCAGCGCCCATTTGGTTATCGGCGCCTCTTTGGTTTTTCGGCGACCGTCCCCCCCGCGCCCGGCAACGAAAAGAAGGATCAGCAAGTGCCACATTGCCCCTTACGGGCGACCATTCGATAGCGAATTGGTGACCGACCATCGGCGCCGGGCAGAGTACACAATACTCGACGCAAAGTGTACCCCACGCGAAGGCTGTTAGAAATCCCGGAATCCCCGGAACGTATCAATAACACGTTGAGTCAATCGATTTTTCTCGTCCTACGTTTGGTTATCGGTGCCCCTTTTGTTTTTGGCGCCCTTTTCGTTTTCTGCGCATCGTGGGTTTTCGGCGCCTCTTCTGTCTTCGGCGCTCATACTGTTTCTTTTCGCTCCTTCGGTTTTCGGCGCCCTTTTGGTTTGCGTTGCCCTGTCCGTCGGACTGTCCGTCTTCGGAGATGTTGTTTTCGGCGTCCCTGTTGGTTTTTGTTTTCGCCGTCATCTTGTTTTGGTTTTTGTTGGCCGTGTTTTCTGCGCCCTGTTGGTTTTCGGTGCCCCTTTGTTGTGTTTCGGGTCTCTGCTGGTTTTCAGTGCATCTTTGGTATTCGGTGCCCCTGTGGTTTTCGGCGCTCCCTTTAGTTTTCGGAGCCCTTTGGGTGTTCGCGCCCCTTTGGTTTTCGGCGCCTGTTTGGTTTTCGGCGCACCTTTTCGGTGTCCTGTTGGTTTTCGGCGCCCGTTTGGTTTTCGGCGCTCTCTGATTTTCGACGCCCCTTTGGTTTCGGGCGCCCTTCGGTTTTCGCTGGCTCTTTGGTTTTTCGCGCTCTTTGATGTTCGACGCTCTCGGCGCCCATTTGTGTTTTTTGTCGGTGCCCTTTTGGTTGTCGGCGCATCGTTGGTTGTCGGCGCCCCGTTGGTTTTCGGCGTACTTATGGTTTTCGGCGTCTGTTTGGTTTTCGGCGCCTCGTTGGTTTTCGCCGCCCCTTTGGCGCCCCTTTGGTTTTCGAGCCTCCTTTGGTGTTCGGTGCTCCTGTGGTTTTTGGCGCTCCTATGGTTTTCGGTGCTTCTTTGGTTTGCGACGGCTCTTGCGGTTTTTCGGCGCATCGCTGCTTTTCGGCGCCCTCTTGGTTTCCAGCGCCCCTTCGATTTTCGGCGCTCTCTTGGTTTTCGGCGCCTTGTTGATATTCGGCGCTCCTGTGGTTTTTGGCGCCTTTTTTGTTTCGGTGTTCTTTGTTTTTCGGCGCCACCACTTTGGTTTCGGTCGCCCTTCGGCTTTCGGCGCGCCTTTGGTTTTTCGCGCTCTTTGATTTTGTACGCCCGTTTTCAGAAGAGCATGAAGTATTGATATTGATCGTTTTCAAGATTTCCAGGTTTTCCTTTTCTTCCGCGCGGGCTCCAGGGACGAATGGTCGAGCGCATTCCGTCCTGGAGATTGTTTGCGTGATGTGCGCGTTGCATGTTTCGCGCATCGGAGCGCCCTCCGAGATTCCAAGCTGCATTATGTTTTGCTCTTTGGGAGTCCGCGAGTCGCAGCTGCCGTGGCGCGATTTTGGAGGCAACCCCTTCGAGTGCTGTTCGCGGGCGCAGGGCGCGGCGCGCACTGCGCCCAATCGCGCGCGGCGCGGTGCGTGAATCAGCGGGCCGCGTCCGTCGGACCGCCCGGAAATATTTCTGGGTTGTCGGATATTTCGAAAAATTGCTTCCGTTTTTTTGGCGCGAGCGGTTCCCGAAATTTTTCAAAAGGGAGTCAGGATTTTCAAAAAAAGTTTTGAGGGGTGGACTGCGCCTGCCGCGCAGGACATCTGAATAATTCTAAAATCCAGAATTATTCAAAATGGATGCCGGAATTTTTCAATATCGATCCTGGAATTTTTCGAGATCGGTTCTGGTATTTTTCTTTTAGAAATTAAGCCGGACATCTTCAAAAACGTTCCCGGAATTTTCAAATTTACCCCCTGGGAATCGCGCGTGATTTGCCTTACCAGGTCTCTGGGAATCCGCCGAGGCTGCGCGGTGCGCGGCGGCGGGCGACGGGGCGGCGCGCGTCCCCCCCGCGCCCGGCAACGAAAAGAAGGATCAGCAAGTGCCAAATTGCCCCTTACGGGCGACCATTCGATGGCGAATTGGTGACCGACCAGCGGCGCCAGGCAGAGTACACAATACTCGACGCAAAGTGTACCCCACGCGAAGGCTGTTAGAAATCCCGGAATCCCCGGAACGTATCAATAACACGTTGAGTCAATCGATTTTTCTCGTCCTACGTTTGGTTATCGGCGCCCCTTTTGTTTTTTGGCGCCCTTTTCGTTTTCTGCGTATCGTTGGTTTTCGGTGCCTCTTCTGTCTTCGGCGCTCATACTGTTTCTTTTCGCTCCTTCGGTTTTCGGCGCCCCTTTGGTTTGCGTTGCCCTGTCCGTCGGACTGTCCGTTTTCGGAGATTTTGTTTTCGGCGCCCCTGTTGGTTTTTTTTTCTCGCCGTCATCTTGTTTTGGTTTTTGTTGGCCGTGTTTTCTGCGCCCTGTTGGTTTTCGGCGCCCCTTTTTTGTTTTTCGGGTCTCTGCTGGTTTTCAGCGCATCTTTGGTCTTCGGTGCCCCTTTGGTTTTCGGCGTTCCTTTTGTTTTTTTCCGGAGCCCTTTGGATGTTCGGCGCCCCTTTGGTTTTCGGCGCCTGTTTGGTTTTCGGCGCACCTTTGGTTTTGGTGTCCTGTTGGTTTTCGGCGCCCGTTTGGTTTTCGGCGCTTTCTGATTTTCGGCGCCCCTTTGGTTTCGGGCGCCCTTCGGTTTTCGCTGGCTCTTTGGTTTTTCGCGCTCTTTGATTTTCGACGCCCATTTGGGTTTTCGGCGCCCATTTCTGTTTTGTTCGGTGCCCTTTTGGTTTTCTGCGCATCGTTGGTTTTCGGCACAACTTTGGCCTTCGGCGCTCATCGTGTTTTGTATCGCGTCTTCGGTTTTCGGCGCCTTTTCTGTTTTCGGCGCCCTTTTTGTTTTCGGCGCACCGTCGGTTTTCGGTACCCCTTTTTGTGTTCGGCATTTCTTTGGTTTTCGTCCTCCGTTTGGTTTTCTTAGTCCCCTTGGTTTTCGGCGCCCCTTTGATTTGCGGCGCCCTGTTGGTTTGAGGTGCTTCTTTGGTTCTCGGCGCCTTTGTGGTTTTCGGCGGCCGTTAGGTATTCGGTACCCTTTTTTGGTTTTCGGCGCCATTTTTGTGTTCGGCGCCGGTTGACTGTTGGGTGCAATGTGGTGCTTGGCGAACCTTTGGTTGTCGGCGCCCAACTGGTTTTCGGCGCCCCTTTGGTTTCCGGCGTCCTTTTCAAGTTCGGCGACCCTTTGGGTTTTGACGCCCTTTGGGGTTTCGGTGCTGTGTGGTTTTCGAGCCTTCTTTGGTTTTCGGCGCTGCTCTGGTTTTCGGCGCTCGTTTGGTTTTCGGCGTTCCGCTGGTTTTCGGAACTGTTTTTTGGTGTCGGGCGCCGCCTCTGTTTTCGGCATTGTTTTTGGTTTCCGGCGCTTTTTGGTCTTCGGCGCCTCTTTGATTTTCGGCGTTCCTTTGATCTCGGCGTTCTTTTCATTTTTGGCACCTTCTTGGTTTTCGGCGCACCTTCGGTTTTCTGCGCCTCTTCGTTTTTCGGCGCCCCTTTGGTTTTCGGCGCGCCTCTGGTTTTCGCGCCCTTTCGGTTTTCGCTGGCTCTTTGGTTTTCGGCGCTCTGTTGGTTTTCGGCACCCTTTTGGTTTTCCCCGCTCCCTCCTCTAGCCAAAGGGAGGGGGGGGGGTCTAAGCCCCCCCCCTTTAGCTTAAAAAGGGGGGAGGGAGGGGGCTTCCAGCAGAGGGTTCAAAAAGGGAGGGGGGTAGCTGAGCCACCCCACCCCCCTGAAAGGGAGGGGGTGGGCAGCTTCAGGAGCGCGAAGGGAGGGAGAGGGGTAGCTCCCGAGGGGCGGAAAACGAGAGGGGGGGACCGGGGGGGGCTTTGGTAGATGAGGTCCAAAGGGGAGGGGGGTAGCTAAGGGTTCTCCCCCCCTTTGGGAGTGTACCACGGGCGCGGTTTTTTCAAAGCTGTGGAAGCCACAGATCTCGAGAATCGAAACGGGTACGGAAAGGGTAGGAGCGAAAACCGACAACAGTTCCTACCATTTTGAAGAGGACTCGCTGTCGGCGTTCCGTAGCCATTTTGGCTCAAGATCCATTTTGGTTCAGGGCAGGTTGGTCGTCAGGTCTTTTTGTACGCACGCGTAGGCAGCAGCTCCCCCACTTAAGGATTACCAGAACCATTGTATGCATATATTCCGGCATGATCTCTCGCCAGAAGGGTCTTGCTAGTTATGGTGCGGCATTCATTGAGGCAGGGGTTGATCTGCAGTCTCTGTGCGAGGATGACAGTTGATGACCTGCGCAAGCTCGCCATACCGCCCTCGGCTCATAATGATATAACGTCTTATCATTTTTGGGCGATGCTGCGAGCCTGAATGCATCAGTGAGGCCATCGTCTTGCAGGAGACCGCGCCACCGCCCAGGCAACGGCCGACGCAGGCATGGACAGAAGTTTCAAGGCGTTGTACCGAGTTACCGCGGCGCCTCCTTAGAACGTTCTGGCAACGCAGACAGTGCGAGACGTAGTACAGGGAGGACGGCCAACAGTACCTCGGCTCAGGAAGATTGGGTGCCTACCATTTCTGGGCGAGATTGTGAGCCTGAACGCGACAGTGAGACCATCGTCTTACAAGGGGCCGCGCCACCGCTTAGGCAACGGACGAACCAGGCATGGACAGAAGCTGAGGGCGTTGTACCGAGTTACCGCGGCACCTCCGTAGCACGTCCTGGCTACGCAGACAGTGCGAGACGTACTACAGGGAGGACGGACAACAGTATGTTTTCTGTGAATCAGTGTTTCGCGGCTTTCGTGGATGACAATGCTCGGCTGAGCCACAAGGCGGGTGCTCTCCAAAGCAGTGATGCTCATGGTTGTATCGCTGACCTTCGAACCAAGCTTTCTTCTTGACAAGGGCATGCTACATGGATGGGACTACAAAGTTGTGATTGGTGGAGTTTTGGTCCCAGAGCTTAGATTGATCTGGCTCGACGTGATGGTAATGGTCAGCGGCGCATTGTCATTACACTTAGCGGCCTCTTTGGATATCGCAGTCACGTATGTATTCGAGGTTGTAGTTTTCAAGACAAAGGACTTCGGCGTTACAGCATTATTTTTGGTAATGATCACCTGCGCCCTCCGGGCCTATTTCGTACATATGATGCTCCTTGTCCGAGCACAAGAGGGTGCCGTGGCGGAAGTTCGTTCCAACCTCGTCAGACGGTTTTCCCAGGACAGCGTTCTGACTCGACGCCTGTCGCAAACGAGCCTTGGGATCCCATCGCCGCGCGCACGAGGAAAGTGAGCGTTCGGCCCGAAGCGAGAAGAGCCACGGCGGCTTCTCGGCTCCTGGGGCCCTCGCGAGGCGGTCCGCTGCACCCGCTGCGCGTGGCCGGCTCGGAGCGGGCCGACCAGGTGTTGTGGCCGTGGCCCGTTGGCCAGTGCACTGTCGGGCCGGCCAGAGGCTTCCAGGAATCTTCCTTGATTTCTACTAATGTTCCGCATGGGCGACATGAACGCGGGCCGCTAGACGCTAGATACTCTGGAGCTCCCGGAACCCAATCGTGAGCCAGACGTATCATGACGGCGTTCTTGTCTTTCTACCAGCCGGGCTCCCCTGCGGGCTGTCAGAGAGCTAGTCGTCCTCTTCCCTCCTCCGCTGCGCCCCATTCATGTATGCATGCCCGTCTCACGCGCACTCAAGCCTCGCACGCCCGATAGAAGACCACGGGTGCCTCCGTAGCTCTCGGTGCCGCTTTCAGCACCCTGCCAGCAATCGGCGATACACTGTGGTCGATCCCTCCATCCTGATGCCTTCCCCCGCACCTCCTCCAGGTGACCGCCGACGCCGACGATTGAAAGATTGGCTTGATTTTCCATCAGCTCTGAGGGTGAGGGGGAGGTGGAGGGGGGTGGGGGGGTGGAGGAGTAGGAGGAGGAGGCAGGCATTCAGAGTGGCACTTGGATTAGAGGGCAAAGCCCCGGATGCCGCCACTCACGTTGAGGCAGGCACGGTCTCGCCCCAATTTCCACGAGTGGGGGGTACTAAAGCGTCCACCAAAATGGGAGTTCCGGAGGGAGCCCGAGTTGTCGATAAAGACAAGTGTTCGCAGCTGCTTCTGAATGGGCACAGGAAAGGTGTCCCCGGCTCGACAGTGTTGGTATAAACTTGAGGATGGCCATCGGAAGCGAAACGGCGAGAAAGCCAACAACATTGTTTTCCTTAAGGTTTTGGAAGGATGTTGACCTCTTCAGGGCCTCCAGGGGGAGCTCTTTGGCCACTTGGAGCGGTCTTGGGGCATCTGGCAGCATCGTGGGGGCCATTTGAGGCATCTTGGGACATCTTGAGCCATCTTGGAGGTCATCTTGGGCTCTCCCGGGCGCTCTTGGAGTCATCAGTGCCCCCCCCAGGAGGCCAAATTATGGATAAAACCTTACATCAATGATTTTGGCATTCTCGCCGAGGCCTCTTGGAGCGTCTTGGGTGCCTCTGGGGGGCCTCTTAGGGCCTCTTGGGGGTCTTTTGGGAGCCTCTTGGGGGCATCCTGGGGGCTTCTTGGGGGCCTCTTGGGGCCTCCTGGTCACCTCTTGGGGCCCTCTTGAGGCACCTTTGGGAGCCTTAGGGACCATTTTGGGGCCATCTTGGGTGAGATCGATCAGAGAAGGGGGGTTCCCTAATTGGCCTCCTCCCCATCAGGAGGCCAAACTGGGGCCAAAACCTTAGCAACACCTATGATTTGGGCTTCCTCGCCGAGGCCGTTTTGGACGCTCCAACTACCCGCGGACCCCCCCGTCCATGTCCAGGGGGGGGGATAGGGGGAGGAGAAAACCCCAACCAGAGCATGGCGCAGGAAACCTCATCCGCGCATCTTGGTGGCTCCACAAGGGGGCCAGCGGATCCTCTGGTGCGTGGCGGTCGCTACCCGGGCCAAGTTGCCACGCCCCCAGGCAGCGGTAACGATCGGGGGGCCACATGTTGATGTTAGCGCGCATACTACGGCTATCGCATCGCACCCTGCACAAACGTTACTGTTACCTGCACAAGCGTTACTGTTACCTGGGGCGCCCCCCCCTGGGTAACGACCATTATTGGAAATAATCAGAGTGAGGGGGCCGAACGGTCTTACACCATCACTGGGTGCGCGGGTGAAGGGGGATTCCGTGGTCCGAATTCTGCTAGTAGTTGTCGTCGTCCCCCCCGTGACCCACCCCTTCAACCCATCCGCGACCCACCCCGCGCCCGCCCCCTCTTATCCGCAATTGAAGGGTGCTACGTAAAAAAGATCTCGCCCCCCGAGGTGACCAGCCACGGCTTGGCACAGCCCAGGGTCCGCTTCAGCTCGATCGATCCGGTTCGATATCGGTCCGGCCAGCTCGATCTGATTCGATTTCGATGTTCCGACAGCCCGATGCGGCCCGATTTTTTTTATGTCGTTGTTGTGCATCGCACGGACGATTTGATTTGATTCCGATACCAGAAAAGCGTCACCTTGACCCCAGCCGGGGGCGTTTCCAGAAGAGCGTCACCTTGCTGGATTAGGATGGGATGGTGTCGGGAGTGGCTAGGACAGGGATTCAGTCGAACCGAGGTATAAGATCGAGGTCGGTTCCGGGAGGGCCACTAATGTTCTTTGGGTTTGTTGGATGTTCTTGGGCACCCTGGGGATGGTACCCTAGATGTTATGTGCGGTTTGACTGGCGGAGGGTCTCGTGTTCTTGTGGGATGTTTTTCTGTCCTAGGTTCGACTGTAAGTTGTTCCAGAGCGTTCCGGAACGCTCTCCAAGCGTTCCCGAACGCTTTGAGAGGGCCGCGGCGCCCAGCATCTTTTTCATAACCGCCACATTTCTGAGATTCCCGATGTGTCTCCGTGCGATTTTGTCCCTGACCTGGTTTTCGTTTTTGGAGTCTCGATCGGAAGTCCGAGCTGAGATCGCCCCAGGCACCCAAGCAGTCAGTAGCAGCCGAAAGTAGCAGTACTGCAGGCTCGCGACGCGCTGATGCGGCGGCGACCCCAGCAGGAGCGTTCAAGATTGAACGCCGCCAGCGGCCCATCCTTGGCGGATATGAACGGACTGCGTTATCGGACAGCCGCAATCGTCAAGGCTGCACGATCCACGCGGTGTCAGAAACCAACGCCGACATCATGGCGACGTGACAGTGTTGCAGCTGGGGCAGCAGTGGTAGCGCTAGTGATTGCAATACGTGGCTGCGGCAGGAGCAGCAGATCGAGCAACAGGGTTTGCCGCGGCAGCAGTTGTAGTAGCACGTGAAGTAGCAACGTGTCCAGCAGCGGCTGGGCCCGTGGTGCCAACATCAGGAGGAGGAGCAGGAGGAGGAGGAGGAGAAGGAGGCGGAGGAAACAGGCGATGGAGAACGCTGCGGAGGAGGACGGGGGCTTGGGACGGGCCGGGGCGACGGGGAGAGGGAGTGAAGACCGTGTTGGTTTGTGTCTGACGGCCTTGGGCGATCGCTGATCAGATGTGGGCAGGAGCACGCGGCGTGCAAGAAATCGGGGGGGGGGCGGCCCAGGCCTCCGGCGCCGTGATGTTTTCCCGCAACGTGGACCCCCAGAGTTCTGGACCTCTTCCCCGGGGCCGGCTTCTCATCCCGAGCAGTTCCTTGGTCGGCCCCGGGGCTCGGGTGGGGCCCGGGGGCCAGGCAGGGGCCCCCCCGGAGGCCAAAGGTTGCCCAAGACCTTCCGCCGTGACCTCGCTCGCGACCCGGAGGGGAGGGGGGTGGGAGCCCCTCGGCCTCGAGGGCGCCTCCGCCTCGCCGTCTTCGGCGCGGCCTCGTGAACTCCTGGACCCGTCCGTCGTGCGTTTGGCGCGGCGACAGGAGGTCTGGGCACGGAGAACGGGCCCTTGGGGTCGGCCGCCTGGGCGGCCTCTCCCACCCCCCCGCCATGTGCGAGGGGCCGCTGGGCTCCAGGGCAGCCGCCGCTGAACAGCAGGCGGGGCGCTTTATTTGCTTCTGCCTCGGGGCGTCGTCAGCTACACCCACCACCGGTCACGGCCAGGCCAGCCTTGGGCCCAGGATCAACATGGAGGAGAAGGGGTCCTGGAGGGTCTTCTCGCCGTTTCTAGATTGTTCGGGGCCCTTCCCTGGGCCCCAGTGCCGTCTGGAAGCGACTCGGTGTGAAAAGCTCGCCCCAGAGAATGGCGCAAGGTCCGTCTCCAGCAGCGGTTGTTCCACGCCGACAGCTGTCGCCAGCACTACACTAGAGCAGACTAACACTCTAGAAATCCGGTAAACTCAGAGCTTTTGCGACTGTTCCCATATTGGGTGGATGTCCCACTAGTTGTCTTCAAAAGTAGTTTTGTCCCAAAGGTAATGCTTGCACTTAGGGTTCTTTCTTCGGTTGCTAAGCGAGTGGCCCCCGAGACGGGGTTCAGTTATTTCGAAGAAGGAAAGCATCGTAAGCATGAACGTTCGGAGCTCTGCGCTGTGCCCCGTGGCGCGCTCCGCGCGCCAGGGAGGGGACTCCAGCGCCGATCCGAGAAATCCGCGAGGACCTTCGAAAGTCTGTCGAATGACCTTCGGCGCATCATGCCACCGTGGTGGGTATGAAGCCTATTGGATGTTCGTTGGTATCTCATGGGAGGCCTACTGGGAGCATCTTGGAGGCAATTTGGAGGCAGTTTGGAGGCCTCTTGGAGGCCATTTCGGGGCCTCTTGGGGCCTGTTTTGCGCCTCTTGGGGGCCTCTTCCGGCCTCTTGGGGGCCTCCTGGGGGCCTCGTGGGGCCTCCTGAGCGCCTCTTGGGGCCTCCTGGGGGCCTCTTGGGGAGGAAGGCTGGGATTTTCGGTTCGTTATCCCTCTCTTGGGCCTCTTTTGAGGCCATCTTGGAGCCCTCTTGAGCAGTTTTGGGCACCTCTGAGACCGTCGTGGGCCCTCTTGGGCCGTTTTGGAGTCCTCTTGGAGGCCTCTTGGAGGCCTCTTGGGGCCTCTAGGGCCTTTTGGGAGCGTTGGGAAGCCGAAGCGGCGAGAATGCCTAAATCTTTCAAAAACCTTGCACAATCAATGATTTTGGACTCTTGGGGCCCTCTTGGAAGGACTGGGCCGTCTGGGGGCCATCTTGAGCGTCCTGGAGCGATCGTTGGCGATTTGAGGCCCTCTCGGACCGTCTTGAGGGGCCTCTCGAGGCTCTCTCGGCCCGTCTAGGGGTCTTCCTGGGTGCGAAAAAGTTACATGACAAGGGGGCACGGGAGCCCAGGGGGCACGCTGGTTCAGGAAGCCTCCAGAGGCACTGCAGTCAGGGTGCTACCAGAAGTAACGAAGCCCCCCTTTTGGCCCCGAGAGGCGCCTGGGTACAGGAGGACCGCGAAAGGATCAACCAAGCAACGACCTAACAAACAACGAGTTCCTTTCCTGACCCGAACGGCTCGTTATTTCAGCGTCTTAGCTGTACGTGCGGAGCGGAGAGTTACCCTTCAAGCGATCAGGGCGGTTGCTCCTCCAGCGACGCTGTCTGGCGGGCGGTGCTTCGACTAGCGGTGGACCTTGCCACCTGAGAGGTTTTTTCATTGAGTTTTAGAAGGGCGATGTTCTCAATCTAGGATAGCGGTGAAGAAAATCCCAGGGGGGGCATCAGGCAGCAGTGCCATGGACGACAATTCATACATTGCGTTCTGGACCTCTTCGTTGGCGGCGTCATCGAATTTGAGGTTATTGTAGTGGCCTCCGGCCAGTGCCGCCGATCCGGGGCGCTCCTAATGCTATTGTTGTTGAAATGGACGATGACGACGACAAGGTACGACCAGCGGTCGACGAGCGGGATAATTACGACGACGACCGACGAAGGAGTTAATGACGACGAACCGACGGCGACGACGACGACGACGACGGCGACGACGACGACTGACTGCGAACGGCTGCCGACGGCCGACGACCGACGACTGGTGACGGCGACGGGTGGAAGGTTCTTCGTTCATCGCTTTCGCTTCCGAGCAATACAAAGTCAGGCCGTGCACATCTGGCCTGGCAGCACGCGAGTGAGCGCCTCTTGGGCCTCTTGGTTCTTGGGGCTTCTTTGGGGCCTTTGGGGCCTCTTGGGGGCCTCTCGGGGTCCTCTTGGGAGTCTCTTGGGGGTCCTCTTGGGGGCCTCTGGGGGCCCCTTGGGGGCGTCTCGGGGGCATCTTGGGGGCTCTTGGGGTCATTTTGGGGTGAAGGACTAGAAGGGTCCGTTCGGGTTCCAATCTCCCTCCCACATTAAGACCCTCCCTGTGTTTCGTGGGGTGGGTCCAGAGGAGGAAGGAGGGAGCATACCCACAAGTATTATGTTGTCGCTACCCCTCTGGTGCCACTACCGTCGGGCTTCGGCTCGCTTGCTCCTGCTTGTGTGTGGTTTTCTTTGAGAGTTGTGTTAGCTTTGGTGCTGCGGCGTCCTCCACCTACTCCCCCTCCGTTGCTGCCTCCTCTTCGCAGGAGGGCGGAGGAGGACGGTGGACGGAGGAGGAAGGAGGAGAAAGAGGATCGAGGAAAAAGAGGAGGAGGAGGACGGGGGAGGGAGGAGAGGAGTGTCGAGGAGGATGAGGACGGCGGGGGATGGAGGTAGGAGGATGGAGGCCGACCGCGGCGGTGGCGACCCTGAGCGTCGCGCCGGCGGCAAGACAAACCGCCGACAGCCCGTGCGAGCTCATTGAGGAGAAGGAGCATCCCGCGTCCGCGCGCCGCGCGCTCGCTGGCACTCGCTGCGGCCGCTGTCGTCGTGGTCGTCGTCCTCACAAGCGAACCAATGGCAATCTCGAGCCTGTGATTCTAGGCCTCCCAGGTAGGGTCGAAGTAGATGGGACCAGAGGATCGCGCCGTATCGCCGATGTATCGACGATGCGGCTCGATGCGAAGGCCGATTTTCTGCACGCCAGCGTCGCTGGTGCATCACCGACGTCGCCTGTGCATCGCCGATGCATCGCCGATGCATCGCGGATGCGGCGCGATCTTCCGACCCCATCTACTCGGACCCCATCTAGGAGGCCTTAGATGGGGATGGTTCGTTTGTTCAGGCGCCCTGAGTGGGCTTGCAGCGGCCACGTCTCATCTTCAGACTGGACAGATTTAGAGATGCTCTGGCCCTCCCTCCTGCCGGCACGCGCGACGCGCGCGCAGGAGCGACGAAGGGAGGGGACAGGAATACACTGCCTGACTGCGCCGCTCCACTTCGAGGAGACGACGCTGGACACGAGAGAAGCGGGAACCGAACATTTATTTTGGTCGATGTTGGGACCAGAGCGAAATGGTTCGTTCGCACAGCATGTTGTCGTCGCGGTGGTGGTCTTCTTCGTAGCCCCTTCCCCTCCCCCCGCGTGCTTCTGGGCGAAGGGCAGGGGACGAGGGTCGCCATTTCAGGACAAGCTCCTCATCCCGAGTCGTCATTTGACGGTCTCGATGCCCAAGGAGGGCCCCAGGGGCCCGGAAACGGCGAAGAGAAGTCCAGGACCCTTCGCGTCTCACCTCACCCGAAAAAGGCAAAGCTGTATAAGCATAAACTGTCGCAGCTCCGCGCGGACTTCTGGGATCGGCGCTGCCCCTCCCGAACCCTGGCGCGCGGAGCACGCCAGGGGTGGCGCCGATGCGCTGCCTGGGGGGCCCAGGCTTCAGCCCAAGAAGTCCGCGTGGAGCTCCGAACGGTCATAGTTGTGCCAGACTGTTTTTCTTCTCCTCATGCCAGCAGCGGCGGAGGGACGAGGGCAGTGCGGGGAACGGGCCTGGGGAGGGGACGATGCGACGGCGACCCGTGCGCTGTCGCTCCCAGGCCCGATTGGGGCCTTTTGGAATATGGAAAACGACCTGCGGCGCGGGGCTGAGGTGGCCCAGCACTGGTTCCGACTGGCAGAAATGGGGGGGGGAAGTGGCCCCGTCGTCGCTACGGCTGGACGTGGCTCGAAATACCTTGTCAGTTTTGACCCTTGGAGCGGCCCGGGGACCGATTTTGAGCGAGTTTGCATTTGTCCCCACCTCTTGAAAGATCTCTCTGGGGCACATCCAGCGCGGACCCCCCGGCCGCTTCCAGTCAACAAGTGTGTCCACGGTCTAGTCGTTTCTGCTGCGTCGCAGTCGGTTACGTTCGGTCGGCTCGGTTCGGTCGGTTGCCGTGTCCTTGCTCCGTTGCCGCGCCCTTCCAGACTGCCTGCGGCCTGTCGGTGTCGGTTTCGGTCGGTTCTGTTTCGCTGTTGGGTCGGTAGGTTTTTGTCGCCTTGGACGGCCTCAGTTAAGATCGAATAAGAAAAGCATCACAAACATAATTATACGGGTGGAACCAGAGGAGAGGCGTCATCGCGTCCCTCATCTTGCAGCTCTGGGAGATCAAGTGGGACGCATCCTCAGCGGACTTTGGACAGATGCAGACGGAGGAGGATGGCAGCTACATCCAGACGATGGAGATGACGACCCCACGTTCCTGCTGGACGCGATCACGGAGGACCTGAAGATGAAACTCCGGGAGAACGCCAGCAAGCACCACAACGGGGCAGGACGTCAACACGGAGCGGACGCCTACGACCTGAAGATGCATTTGAGGTGGCTCAAGAAGGCAGGCAAGCACCAGCAGTACGGAGCCCTCATGACGGCGGCATGTTCTGGGATATGGTCACCATGCAGGAGAAGGGAGGCGTCCGGGGACAGCGCGACGGACAGATGTCTGTGCGGGGGGATCGCAGACGACGTTCACATCATATGGGGCCAGTTCAGCTGCAGGAGCGACCACAGCATCTACAGGAAGACAGAAAACCTGACCAAAAGGGCGCAGCAAGGAAAGGAGGAATGGGCCGCGTTCTGGCTGCGAGGTACCACACAAAAGGCATGGACGACGCCAGAGACATGCACAACGGAGTACACGGCCATGATAACAGGGAAAGCGGAGAACATAGGCCACAACGTGGAGGACCACAATATGCATTTCGAGGACATTGATGAGGCGATTATATGCGGAGACGGAAGCGGAGGAGCCCGAGGGATGACGCAAGATACAGGAGATGTGGTTGGGGCGGTTGGGTCTTGATGAAGAGGCAGCAAGGGCCATGGACTTCAACGGCGGAGTGCTCTGGACCATTGGAGGGGCCAAGGCACTCGAACAACAGGGCGGAGATCACGGCCTTCCTGGACGCGCTGCAGTCAACCAAGGGCAGCTTCACGTTCTACACCGACTCGGAGATCCTGGTGAAAGGTTGGAGGGCGAAGCGGTCGACCGTGAAGAGCTCCAGGAAATGCCACACGGACCTGTGTAAGCGCATAGGAAGGGCGATCAGGCACATGAGAGCCACACGACAGAGGAGGAGGAGGCCCGCAGCAAGAACGTGGAGATGACAGCATGGACAGGAAACAGAAGATCAGATGAGATCGCGGCGGAGGCGGCAGCGAAGCACGATATCTCGGAGGCACGGGTGGGGTGCTACAACTGGGCAGCGGCAAAGGGGCAGCTGGTCAGGGCCAGGAGCACACAGGCTACGATGGAGTTGTTCGAGCGGGCGAAGCCGATTACCTGGGAGGAGAAGGACGAAGCAAAGAAGGCGAAAGCGCAGCAGGCCAATCCGAAGAGCACGTTCGACCAGCTGCTGAAGGGGACACCACGGAAGCTGACAATAACCACAGCCACATGGACATGTCAGATGTGCTTGCAATCAACAAGCGTGCGGCCAAGGTCAATGACGGCGAGATGGTGGCTCCAGAGATGCGGATCGGACCCAAGGAAGGAGCATGCCATCCCCACCGAGAGCGGCCACATCAAGATGAAGAGCGAGCTGATGTTGAAGGGCAAAGTCGCGCACCACACCCACCAGATCAACTGGAGCCAGCGTCACGAGAAGTACTTCTGCTGGGAGTGTGGGTCTACCGCGACAGTCCACCTGAGCAAGAGGATGACGGAGGCTTGCTCGGGGGCTCCACCAGGACAAGCTTCCAGAGCAGCGAAGGGCGAACACAAAGGGTACGTGAAGAAGAGGAGGGCAGCCTAACGCCATGGCAGACAACGCGCGGGGCTGGCCCAGACTGACGACGGCGCCTGAGTGGCGGCTGTCGCCTCTGCCGCTAACCAGTCTGCCGACAGCTAGCAACATGTCCACAAAACATGTGCTGTGATTCTACTATCCGGGGAACGCCCAGGGTTTATATCTTTCAAGGTCAGACGGTTTACGTGTCAGGAGCCAGGGCCAACGAGTTTCTTGCACACGGTATCCGCCAACCTGGCAGAAAGGTGGCACCGTTCTTTTCACCTGCTGAAGTGTCTCTTGCTCCTTTCGCTCTAAGACTCCTGATTCTCCTCCCGCTCATCCTGCTGCTCTCCCTGTTCGTCTGTGTTTTTGCCCGTCTTCCCACTGGACTTTCTGCTCCTTTTGCTCCCTGTGCCTGCTGCCCTCCCCTCCTTTCCGGTCCTTCCTCTGATCATCCAAGCATGCCACTCCGCCTCCCTGTGCTGAGCGCGGCCGCGCCGGGCACGTTTGACATCGAGCTGGACCCGTTTGTTGCCGTGGCCAGACTTGCGGCCAAGCTCGTCGATGCGGTTTGCGTTCATCTAGCAGCCCTCAGAGACATGGCGAGCGCGATGGTACACGAGCAGGCTGGTCAGGCCGTGTAAACAGTCGCCCATCAGTCCGCAGCAGGAGCTTTGGAGTACGACGTGCGCTCGTGTCCGTGTGCGCACCTGGTCGCCCTGGCCCAGCACTGGATCCGGCCGGCAGGGAGAGCGCGGTCCGAGGTTCTGAGTTCGAGAAGGCTTTTTGCTTTTTCGGCGTCCAAGGGCCGTTCACGGGGCCTGGGGCCGTGAAAAAGGGATCCGGGGTGAAAGACTTCACCAGATTGACCCCGGGAGGTCCCAGGGACCGATTTTGGGCGGATTTGGCTTCACGCCCCCTCCTGATAAATTTTCAATGGTTCTGACCCCCTGGCCAATTCCAAGATGGGGTGCCACCTGGATGACCGTGTGCGGGAATAGGCCTCTCTTCCCAGGCATGCTATGAGGCAGCTCGTTGCGCCTCCGAACAGAGCTCCGCGCGGTGGCCGCGTGCCACTCCGCCGAAACTCCCCAACAGGCGGTGCAACGGCGAGGCCGTTGCACTCTTCACGCTCGATCTTTTCGGGCGCCTGGGCCCCTCGTCGCTGCAGCTGGTTTCCGCGCTCCACACGGAATCGTGCGAGCGTGACAAAGCTCATCCCCAGTTCAGGGCACGGGGATCGTGGGGGGTATACAAGGTCGACGGGGTTATTGAAGATTGAGATCGAGGGGTAGCGAGTGGGGCATCGAGGATTGAGGGCGGAGCTCTGGCGAAGCGCCCCGCGCCCCTGCTCGCAGGAGGGCCCGCTCTGGAGGACGGTGCGGCGACAGCTTTACCGCTCGGAGGCTGGCCCGCCCGGCCCCGTCGTCGTCGTGCTCGTCGGCGTGGTCGTCGTCGTCGTCGTGATTGCCGCCATCTTCGTCGCGATCGTCGTCGTGGTCGCCGCCGTGGTCGCCGCCGTAGTCGCACAGCCGCCATCACCGTCGTGGTCGTCTCCCGTCGTCGTCGTCGTCGTCGTCGTCGCCGTCGTCGTCGTCGTCGTCGTCGTGGTCGTCGTCGTCCACTGTCGCCGTCGCCGTCGTCGTCCGCCGCCGTCGTCGTGCGTCGCCGCCGTCCGTCGTCGTCCGTCGCCGTCGTCGTCATCGTCGAACGTCGTCGTCGTCGTCGTCGAACGTCGTCGTCCTCGTCGTCGTCGTCATCATCGTAATCGTAGTTTCCGTCGTCGTCCGTTGTCGTCCGTCGTTGTCGGCCGTCGGCCATTGTCGTCGTCGTCGTCGTCGTCATCGTTGTCTTCGTCGTCGTCCGCTCGCCCCGCGGGTCGCTCGCTGGCACCCGCCGCCGCTGTCGTCGACGGCGTCCAGAGTCCCCTCCCGCACCCGGGAGCAGATGGAGGGGAGGAGGAGGAGGAGCAGGAGGAGGAGGAGGAGGAAGAGGAGGAAGAGGAGGAAGAGGAAGATGATGAGGAAGAGCAGGGAGAGAACGAGAAGGAGGAGGAGGAGGAGGAGGAGGAGGAGGAGGAGGCGAGAGGAGGAGGAGGAGGAGGATGAGGATGCGGAGGAGGAGGAGGAGGAGGAGGAGGAGGAGGAGGAGGCAGAGGAGGAGGCAGAGGAGGAGGAGGAAAACCGTTCTCCCCCTTCCGAGTTCAGCGCGCGCAGTGTTTTCTGCGGCCTCGCGGGCTAATGTTCTTGCGCCCGTCCGCGGCACCCCTCTTTTGCTATTGTGCCTTACCGCTGGGTGCTGTTGCAGGTTTACTAGACCGTGCCGCCTGATTCGGTGTTACTTCGTCGTTTGTTCAGGCGCTACGGTGATTCGTTTTGCCAAAGTCCGCGTGACCTCATCCGCGTCTTCTATGGTGGGGCCCCTGGGCGTGGCCACTAAGAATCAGAAAGCCTCCATGGGTGAGCACCACTCCCTCCTCATGACCCTCGACGTGCTGAACTGACGCACTTGCAGACTGCGCTGCTCTTCTCTTTTTGAGCGGACGCTCGTCCATGGGCCAGCACTGGAGATAGACGCGCAGCATGCCACCAACTTGGCATATGTCGAAAGAGGCGGCACACAAGTTTGAGGAGAATGTCGGGAGCGAGTGTGAGCGCGTTTCAATTCGGGGGATCATGTGGGTGGACTGATAAGCAGCGAGGGAGGCCAGGAGGGGAGGCCCGTGATCCCACGGATGTGGACTGGGTTCAGGTGGCGCGGAAGTGCGTTCAGGCTTTTGCCCTGGCCACGGCCAGGAAGACTGCTCTGTGGCCCACCATCGGACAAAGTTGGCCCTTCGAAGCATGTCTCAAGGCAGGGCGGTGTGCGCTGGAGGCGCGCAGGCTGTACTGAGCGCTTTCGAACCCCATCGAAGGCCTGCGGACATTGTGCCCCCCTTGGGCCCCGCCAAGAGGACTGGTTTTGGCGGCGAGTGGGTTCAGAGCCACCTCTGGTTCGCTTCCGGGACCACCCGTCACCGCACCCCTTTCTCTCTTAAGTTGTTGCATGTGTGGGTCGCATTTTCCGGGCACGAAGACTTCCCCTCAGCTGGCTGGCCCCCACCAGCAGGTGGAGTCCAAGCAGTTGGTCATTTTGGGGGCCATCCGTCTCGCGTGGCCGAAGGGCACCGCTATCCATGCGCCCTGGCCCCCCGCAGAGGCGTAGAAACGGTGGCGAGCGTGGCGTCCTGCCTATTTGATTATTCGAAGTGCGCCCGTTCACTAAACGCGTGCTCGCTTTCATCGCTGCTGCAGGAAAATGAGCAGGAGGAGAAAGACACGGAGGAGGAGGAGTTCTGCGGCTTCGGGTGTAGGACTCGAAAGAGGCTGCGGCAGATTCGTGCCGTGTCGAGGCGGCGGCGATTCCATCGCGGTCATTCAAGGCCGAACGCCGCCTGAAGCACCGAATCGGCCGAGACCGAACGACCTTGTGCGATCGGATAGCCACAGTCGTTCAGAGCTGGTGAAAGAGCAGGTTGTCACACATCGAATATGCCGTATCCGGAAGCGCCCTGGAATACCATTTACGTGCCCGAAGCAGCAGTATAAGGATGTGCGGGACTCTGACCGTGAACATGTTCTCCCTCCCTCTTCTTCTCTACACCATCATCGTTGTTCTTCTTCTCCTCGTTATTCTTTTTCCACCCGCTTACCATACGAAGGGTCAACATGCGTATTGGCTGAAATGGAATTATCCTGTCGAGGTGGCGCACATCAAGCGGCTGGTGGGTGAGGAGCTCATCCAGCAGAACAAGCTCATGTTGGGATGGGGGCTCCTCATCCTCCCCCTCCTTCCCCTCCTGGCGGGGGGGGATTCCCAAACGCCCAGGGGGAAGTCTTTCAGGTCAAACTTTGTCTGTGGCCCCCGGGCTACAACACCAGCGGCTCCCGTCTGACACTTCCTCACAACATGTTCCAAAAGCGCGTTCTCGCGCCGGACTTCTCCACACTGTATGCAGGAATCGCGCTCTCGCGTGGGACCTCCTTGCAATGTATGCAGACGCCGCGCCCTCGACACTCAGGAATCGCGCTCTCGCTCTGGCTGTTCCCACGAGGTACGTGGGAGTCGCGCTATCGCTCGAGACTTCATCGCGATTCAGCAACCTGCCTGCTCGACCAGGCCGCCAAGGCCCGCCTTCCCGACCCGCCCGCTAGGGTCTACCCGTCCGATCTACCCATCGTTCACCCTTCCCCTGGTCATCCGTCCTCCTTTCCTCTGAGTTACGGGCTGCACTAAATACACGCGGCAGATGAGGACGAGGACGGGTACCAAGGGTTTGGGATATGCGTGTTGAATGGCACGCGAGCAGATAAGAGCCAACTGTATTCAAATGATTGTTGTTATAGCTGTTGTTACCATCACTGTTGTTGTATATGGTGCTGTTGTTATTGTTGGATTTTAAGTATTGGCGATCCCTCCTTAATATGTATTGCGGCGCCGTGCCTAGACACGCTCTCGCTTTGGACGTCCTCACGATGTACTTGGGAATTGCGTTATCGCTCAATTATTATTTGTGATTCATGATGAGTTGACGTTTTGGCGACCCGCACGCTCGACCTGGCCGTCTGGGCCCGCCAGCCCGACCTGTCCGTTAGGGTCCGCCCGCCCGACACGCATGGTTGATTATGCCGTTTGTATTCCTACTTCGAACCATCCTCTTGTAAATATCTCTCGTGCTCCATACTTTTCTCGTGCTCCATCCTACTCCCCTGTTCTAGGGGTTGCGCCAACTACACGCGGCAGGTAGGGAAGATATACACCCAAGAGAGGGTACGATAGAAGGCCAAGAGGGCGGGTATCGAGGGCTTGGGATATACGTGTTGAATGGCACGCGAGCAGTAGTCCGGGAACAGTTCCGCGCGCTCTCGCTTCGACGCCAGCTACATTTTCTTTGAACGCGAGATTACCGCTCGAGCATTGGCTTGAGCCTAACTGTGGGCCCTTGGAGGCCGAGCTACGACGACAGCGGCTCCCGCTCGATATTTCCCCACATTTTACCCCGAGGCACCCTGGCCAGAGAGGCCCCCGAACTCGGGAACGGCGCTTTCGATCTAGTTGGCGGAGGCCCAGCTACGACGATAATGTTTCTTGCTCGATATTTCCTGACGGTTTACTCCGAGAGCCCCTGGCCAAGAAGGCCGTCGAACTCAGCAACGGCGTTTTCGCTTGAGACTTTCTCGTAATTCAGGCAAGTTGGTGGAGACCCAGACACGGCGACAAGGGTTCCAGTTCGATATTTATCCGTAAGTAGTCCGAGGGCCCCTGGCCAGAGATGCCCCCGAACTCTGGAACGGCGCTCTCGCTCCAGACTTCTTCGCGCTGCAGTCAGTGGCCGACGGGGAAGAGCTTCCCACCGAAAGGGGGTCCAATCGAAGACGAAGTGGGCGGGTATCGAGGGTTGAGGTATACGGAATGCAAGACGCGCGTGCCAGTAAAAGCGAACAAATTTTCATGACAAATTATTATTGTTGATCCCCCCTCACCGGTGTATATTGATTTTCTAAGTCAGAATGTGCCCTTCGACGCTCGCACCTTGTTTTTTGTCATGGAAAGTCTTGGTGCTCAAACTGTGCCCTCGGCCCCCCGGACTACAACAACGGCATTCGCCTGAGACTTTCTCCAAATTTGCGCACCCCCCCCTCTCGTCTGAGACTTCCTTCCAATTTTCTCAGGAACGGCTCTCCCGCTTGAGACTTCCTCACAATTTATTCCGGGTCAAACTGCTTTGTTGCTCCCATGGACTAAAACAACAACGGTTCCCGCTCGAGACTTCCTCCAACTTTCTTCGGGACCCCCGCTCCCGCTTGAGACTTCCTCCCCATTTACTCAGGATCGGCGTTCCCGCTTGTGACTTCCTCGCAATTTAGGCAGGGCCCCCCCCTCCCGTCTGAGGCTTCCTTACAATTTTATCAAGAACGGCGCTCCCGCACAAAATTTCCTTGCGCTTTAGTCTAGGCCCCCGCTCCCGCCAGACATCCCTTTTTCAGGAATTGCGCTCTCGCTTGTGACACTTTCGCAGTTTATTCAGAAATCGCGCTATCTACGCTCAGGCACCACGCTCGCGCCGAGGACGCCGTCACACTTTACTCAGGAATGGCGGCCTCGCCCTACTCAGGCCTCCCGCTTGAATGTCCCACCCGCCCGACCCGCCCGTCAGAGGATCGCCTGCCCGTCGTGGGCTGCCGCCCGAGACTTCCTTGTGGAACGGCGCTTTCGCCTAGGACTTTTCCGAACGTTCGCGCTCTTACCTTCCTGCTCTTCCCTCCTCCCGGGCCGCCCCCCTCCTTCCGATTCCCTCTCCATCGTACGTCAGCCAGCCAGGCCGATTGCCCGCGCGGCTGCCTCGTCGCCTGCCGGGGGCCAGCCTCCTCCCTCCTCTCTTTCCTCTTTCCCTTCCTGCCTGCTTGTCTGCCTGTTTGCCTCCTCCTCCCCCTCTGCCCCATCCTCCTCATCATCTCCATCCTAGTCCTCATCCTCCTCCCCCTCCCCATCCTCCTCCTCCGTCCCTTGGTTCCTGGCTCTTCCGGGATGCAGTGCAGGCGTTGTTTGGCCGTCGGTCGGAACCCTGCGAGTGTGAAGGCGCTTTTGAAGCCAGGGGCCCAGTGTGACCCGTCGCCCATGCTCCAGGCCCGCGCCCTAGCTGTTGAGCAGGTCGGGTGGCGTAGCCCAGGGGGCGGGGGGGCTGCTGGGGGTGTTGCTGCTGCCGACGGGGCGGTGGGGAGTGGGCCCCTCTTCGAATGTGACGGCCATGAGGTCCAGCGTTCGGGGCCATGTTTGTTTTGTGTTCGGTGTGGGGTTCGTGTGGCCATCGGTTCTCCCAAAATCGACCTACTTTCGTTCGCCTAAACCTTGCTGTCGCCATCCAGTTCCTTCCTCCCCCGATCCTTGTGTCCGTCGTTTCCGAATCCTTCTCATCGCGCCTCATCTGTTGATCGTCCCCTCATCCTTTCATCGTTCCCTTCCTCACCTCCTTCCTCGTTATCACGGGCGGCGCGGGCGGGTCGCCGACGGAAGCGGCCGCGGCCGCCGCGGCCCCGCGGGCGCGGCGGCGGCGCCGCGGGCGCGGCGCCTGCGGAGAGATGCCCTCCCCTGGCCTGGTCGTCATCCCCTTCCTCCTCCTCCTCCTCCTCCTCCTCCTCCTCCTCCTTCCTCCTCCTCCTCCTCCTCCTCCTCCTCCTCTTCCTCTTCCTCCTCCTCCTTTTCCTCCTCCTCCTCCTTTTCCTCTTCCTCCTCTTCCTCCTCCTCTCCCTTCTTTGCCTTTTCTTCCCTCCCTCTCCCTCCTATGTCTCCTCATTCTCCTCCTCTTCCTACTCTCTCTCTCCTTGTCCCTCCTTCGCCTCCTCCTTACGCGTTTCTCCTGGGTTCCTCCTCCTCCCCGTTCCTTCCGTGCGGGGCGCTTGGCGGGCCCGCGCGAGGGCCGCCGGCGGCGCCGCGGCCCGCGGGGTTTGAGCCCGCGGGCGGGGGAGGAGACAGGAAATGGAAGAGGCGGTGCTCCCCCCGTTGCCGTTCTCCTCTCTTCGCTCTGCCCCCCCTCGTCCTCCACACTCCACGCCCCCTCTTCGCCCTCCCTTCTCTGGTTTGTTCCTCCCTTCTCTTTATTCCTGCGCCCCTCTTCGCCTCGCCCCTCCTCTCCTCTAGCTCTCTTCCTCGCTCCTCTTACCCTACCTCCTGCCTCTCCTGGGGGTGCTGCCGATGCTGGGCGGCGAGGCCTGGGGGAAGCAGGGGAAGAAGGAGTGGGGGGAGGATCATACAAACGACGCCGCCGTGGCACCGTAAAGTGGGGACGTGGGACGACCCAGCGGCACCTCCCCAGTCGTCCAGGGCACGGCAGGCGTGGCGTTTTCTCGACACCACAGGGGATGCGCACGGGGTGGTCCCGGAGCGCGGCCGCTATCCGTCACGGTCGTCCAGGGCACGGCAAGCGTGGCGTTTTCTCGACACCACAGGGGGTGCGCACGGGGTGGTCTTGGAGCGCGGCCGCTATCCGTCACGGTCGTCCAGGGCACGGCAGGCGTGGCGTTCTCTCGACACCACAGGGGGTGCGCACGGGGTGGTCCCGGAGCGCGGCCGCTATCCGTCACGGTCGTCCTTGCGGTACCGGCGGGGCAACGGCCACCAACATCATTCTCACATGTTTCACTTCAGCTATCATCACCCCAGCCATGATATAAGTATGTGGGGTTCCTCGGTAGCGTAACGTTCCACGGTCGGACAGGAATCCCACACGCCCCAAGAGCGCTTCCATCTGCCCCCCAAGGAGGCCCCGAGAGGCCAAAATCATTGTGGCTTGTTTCTTTCATTGCGTTGTTGTAGAATGTGCGTTTTCGCTTTTCGGCTTCAAATATTGGCCCGAGACAGCGCAAGCGGCTCCCGAGTGGGCCCCCCTACGATCCGAGAGGGCTCCAAGGCGGCCCAAGCCGCCGCTCACGACCCTCAAGGGCGCTCCAGAATCGCTCCATGGGGCCTGAAGGAGGGCCCAAGAGGGTCCGACTCGCCCACGGCGTCGCTGCCCAAGCTGCGCAGGAAGGTTCGGGCTCGGTGCAAAGGCGTGTCCCTGCAAGCGGAACACCCGCAAGCGTGGCCGAATTTCAGGCTACGGAAACAGGCTGCGCCACGCTGGTCCCGGGCAGGCTGTACTGCCCGGCGGAAGTCCGACACGGTCCACGGGCGTTCAAAAACGCCCAAGATGGTGTTTCTTCATGGTCCAAGAGGACTCTCAAACGCCTCAAGGGTGTTCCCCGTGGGCCCCCCATGGGGGCCCCAAGAGGCCACAATCAGCAATTGACATTGTGTTTTCAGGATTTCAGCGTTCTCGCCTTTTCAGCCTGCTGACGCTCCAAAACGCCCAAAGACGCACCTCGTATCGCTCCAAAGCAGCCCAAGAGGGCCCCCAAACGATCCCAGAGCACGCCACGACGGCCCAGGACGGCCCCCACGGGAGCTTCAGGGGCCCCCACCAAGAGGGGCCCAAGAAAGGTACCCCGAATTGAGGTTTCGAGCCCTTCCCCAAAAGATGGCTTCCCTTTCCGGGGCTGCGTGTGTTGCTCTGGGGTCGCCGTCCCCGCTGTAGTTTTTGAGGTCCCTGGCCGCGGCGTCTCCCCGCCTGGGGGTGCAGTAGCGGGAGACCTTGCTTGTCGGCGCGGCCTCTAGGCCCTTCATCGCCGCTCTCGGCGGTTGTCTGCAGCTAAACATCTAGCATTGCGCTAAGCGGTCTAGCCCGTAAGCGGGCGCCGATGAAAAAACCCTACCTCCTCCCTCTTCTTCCTCCTCCTCCCTCCTCCGTCCTCCTCCCTCCTCCGTCCTCCTCCCTCCTCCTCTCTTGCTTGTTGGTTGGGGCATTGGTGTTTTTTCGTCGCCAGACTACGCGGCTATATCTACCACCGTGCTCGAGGCACGAGTTGGAGTGCCTCTTGGGGCTTCTCGCAGGAATTTCCCGCGGGCCAGAGGGCCCCAAGACGGGCCCACGGGGTCGGAACATATTGCCAAGCCAACCCAAGATGCGCCCAAGACTGCCCAAGAACAGCGGCGCAGTGGGAACGAACACGCAGGCAAGCGCACGCGATGGGACATCTTGGGCCAGCGGAGTGAGCGACACGATTCAATCATACCATGCATAATGTTACATGCGTACGTTCCTTGCTTGTCCCTTTCATCTTCTGTTTTCTTCCCGTCTCCGAGCGTGCATGTTCTCTACAGTCAACACAGATGGATGATTGTTTTTTTTTCCAAGGTTGCCACTGCATCTTTCCCCTTCGGCCCATCCTTGGCCGGCCGCGCCCCGCTCCAAAAGTGATGACATGGGCGCCCACGGGCCTTGAATCCTTATCGCGCGTCCGCATTATACGCGTTGATATACTTTCTCGAAGAGTTGCCAACTGCGCATTATTCTGCCCACGCGTCCTCCTGGATGCACTGCTCATGTACGCAAGCAAAGCAGTCGTCAGGAACAGGCACCCTATGAGCGCTAGAAAGCATCATCGGCAGCAGGCGCGTGTGCCAGCACCGCTGGCAGCAGCGACACCCTGACGGCAGCAGTGCAGGGCAGCACAAACCCCCAAGCACATTCTCTAGAGCCCGCCCTTGTGGCGAAGCAGGAGCAGTACGACGCCGAACCCGCTGAGAGGCGTGCGGCAGCAGACGGGGGCGCGCACTGTCGTTGGCACGACTTCCTGCGGCCGCGCCCCTCCTGTGCTCCCTTCACGGGGGTCAGCGCCAACGGGTGTCCGCCAGTCCATTCTGGCTTGCCCGTGCTTGGGAGCCACGTGGGGCCGACTCCCTCAGTCTGCCTCTGCCCTCCGCTGGCCTGGGTTCGGGAGCTATTGAGTGGCCGGCTGGGCTTCGCGACAGAGCACTGGCCGACTGGGGTTTGGGCTGCCCCAAGTTCGTTCGTCCCCGACCCCACCGTCGTTGTGTTCTCGTACCTTCTCTCGCATCCTCCTCGTCCTGTTCCTTCTTGGTTATCCCTTCTCATCCTCATGCCGTTTGGAATGGAACATTGTAGAGTTCTCTTGGGCTCCAACGCTACTACAGAGAGTTTATGCGAGCTTATTGCTGGATGTCCGTTTGATTGATTTGTGTTGTGGGGAGTCTGAGCGGCGTACCTAGGGAGTTGACGTCGTGACTCTTCGTCCGTAGTAGCAGAGGCGCTCGCGGGCAATTTGAACAGTCGCGGCAGAGATCTTTCTTTGAACAATGCCTGGCAAGCCAGGGCTGACGGTGTTGGTGTCGTGCTCTCACCGCTGATGTTGGTGGTTTGGGTACCTGTGCCACGTGGATTGCCGTGTATTGAGTCTTCTGCAGTCGAGACATGGCCACAATAACGTGCATCAAGAATACGAGCCCCTTCGCCAAGGGACCAAGGCCCTGTGAAGATACCAAGATACCCAAAACGAAGGCGATTCTAAGGTGGAGACCCCAAACAAGATTGACGCAAGGGCACCCATCCAAAGCCAGGGTTGCTCTCAGCTTTCGCGCCAGCTGTAGTTGACTCCTCCTCTTCCGCGCGAACGGACGGCGACGGGGGCCAGAGGTGGGAAGAGCTCACGTCGTTGCGGCAGATCTTGACGGAGCGCCCGCCGGCCCCCGACCCGCGTCCCTCCCGCGAGGCGCGAGGGTCGTCGCGCTGCCCTGGTGCACCAGCTGCTCTCAGTGCGGCATGCTGCTCGACGATGTTTTTCTGCTGCGCCCCGGTCAAGGGAAGAGGCACGGGGACCATGACCAAGATGACGCGGGATCATGTCGATGCCGATGCGGGTCATGGTCCATGTCGGCCGTCGCCGATGTGCGATGATAGTCCACGCATTGACACAGACCAAGATCGAGCTTCGGCGTTGTTCCCAGTTTTCTTCCCCTCCATCCTGTGCTCCGCGTGTGCCCAGAGGCCGCTGAAAGTAGGTATGGCGCTCGGCCCCGATCAGCCGAAAAGGTTTCCTCGTTGCGCAATGGCGGGGCGACAACTCAGGGTATGGCGGGGGGGGGAATATCGGTGCACGTTTTGCGTACCATAGGGTCCAAGGATCCCCTGGGGCCCAAAAAGGGGGCGAAAGGCGTAAGTTTCTTCGCTGCCCCGTATATCGCCCCTTATTGGGCAACGCCCAACTGCCTGTGACAGCAAGAACATGGCTCCGAACCAATAATTCTGGTCACACTCGGCACCGTTCGCAACATTTCGGGCGCTGGTTCGTTCACGCCCGGGCAGATGTTCAGGCACCGTTTCGGTCACTGTACCCACTTGAAAGAGACGAGGCTACGTGAGGGTATTTTGGGCCCCTCAAATTCCAACATACTCTCGGCGTCGAGATGCCTCTAGAAGTGAAACAGGGAGGGGCCGAGTCCGTAGTCCTGCTCTCTGTGTGGCGCCTGTGTTGGAGTCGAGCCGCTCGGCAGTCCGACCGCAGCCGTGTCAGGAATCCCGAGCTGGTCGAACATCAGGATCCATTTCGATCCGATCGATCCGACTCGATCGACGAGGTCCGATAAGACGCACTTCGACGTCTATGATCGATTTTGATCCGATCGATCCGATCGATTCTGGCCAACCTTGTCCGATTCGATTCCGACATACGGGCGATCCGATGCGCCCCCATGCGTCCATGGCGCTGCCGTGCATCCTGGCGCGGCCGATCCAATTTGATTATGGTGCCTTGCCGATATAGCCAGTTTCGACGCACATCCCGACCCGATCCGATTTCTCTATATGATGCCGATTGATCTTGATTATTTGCAACATCGGAAGATTCCGATCGCCGTTCGCCGGCAGTGCCGGCAAGGCGTCGCCACCCCTGCTGTTTCGGGGCTCGAGGCTGAGTCCGAAGGGCAGCTCCGGCAGCTCGCGATGTCGCCTCGCGGCGGTGCAGACAGCATCGCCCTCCCCGATTCTCCCTCCTCCGAGGAAGAACAACCGGCATATACATGATTTTTCGGAGTCGGGCGTTGCGTAGTGGGAGAGGCGATACATTGGTGGGGGTGTCGCCAATGGGCCCTGAAGAGGCCCCGTTAGGCCCCCAAGAGGCACGAAAGCTGAAGGTTTCCCCTCCCATCCCTCGACCCCACATTCAGCAACGCCGCCCGACGCAGGTCCGCGCGGATTTCTTGGATCGGCGCTGGGCTTCCCTCACTGACGTGCGGAGCGCGCCAGGAGCGACGCCAGAGGCGCCGCCAGGGGGCAGGCCATCGCCGATCCGAGACATGTGCGCGAACCTCCGAATGTGAACGCTTCTGCCGTTCTGTTGTTCTGCTACTCCGCGTGCCCTCCCTCCCTCGCGCTACGCTGCCCCTCTTTCCGTCCAGCTCCGGCAAGCCATGTCCGCCGCTAGTGAGGGCGCCGCCCAAGCGCCCTCCATGCCCAGGCGAGCGGCACTGGTGGCGCTCGGCGTGTGGATGGCCTTGTGCGGCGGGACGCTGTACGCGTTCTCGGCCTTCGAGGCAGGGTTCGACCTAAACGGTGCTTTGGCGATTTCGTGGGCCGTTTTCGTTTCGAGAACGTCTTGTACCGAAGGCGGAGCGAAGACAATACTAGGGAGCACAAGAACAAGACGAGCACAACAAAAGCACTGTTCTGGGTCGATCCCTGCTTCGAGGTGGAGCTCATGGGTGGGTGCCATCTCTCCGCCAGGCAGCTCGACACGATCTACGCCGCGGGGCAGATGGGCGTCGGCGGGCTCGGGATCGTGGCGGGCGTCCTGCACGACACTTGCGGCCCAAGGGCCACCCTGATCTACTCCTCCGTGCTCATCTCGGCTGCGCGCAAGCGTGGCCCTTCGCCAGAGTGGCATCGGTGGTGGGGGTGCGCAGGGTCTCCCCGGCACTGGCCTGCGCGCGTGGATCTGGCCCTCTCGCGGCCCCCCAGAGCCGCGCACCGAAGGCCACCCCCGCCCATGGCCACTCTGACGTGCAGCCGATCGTCGGGGTCGGACACTGGGGCATGTTCGTGCTGCTGCCTGCCGACGGCTGTGGCGGCTATGTCGCCCTGGCCGTGCTGTACGGCCTCGCGCAGAACGGCAGCACTGCCCTCTACCAGGTCGGCCTGTTCCAGAACGTCAAGGCGGCGTCGGCGGGATCCCAGTCCTCGGTCGCCGGCACCGTCTCGGCCGGCTATGGCCTCTCGGCTGCCCTCTTCTCCGCCGTCTACGCGCAGGGCTTCGACAGGGATCTGAGGGCCTATTTCGGCGGCACTGGGCTGACCTTCTCGAAGACGAGACATCGGCGTAAACATACAGTTTGGGAGGGCCGTGCGGATTTCTCGGCTCGGCGCTGGCCCACCTGTGGCGGCGCCTGCGGCGCCGCGCCTGGCGCGCTCCGCGCGCCGTGGAGGGGGTCCAGCGCCGATTCAAGAGATCCGCGCGGATTCCGAAAGTTTGTGCTTATGCCAGCGTCTCTTCTTCCACCTTCGGGGCCACCGCGTTGGTAGCCGCGGCCGTGCTGCCGGCGCTGCTTGGGCGCGGGGGCGCGAACGCCTATGGGCACCTCGAGGACGAGAAGGACGGCTCGAGGGGCGAGCCGACGACGCTCGGCAAGCCTCAGATGCTCCCTTGCCCGTCCGGCGGCCCCGCGTCGGGGCAGGACCCGACCACCGGGGGCGGCTCTGCCGAGGAGCTCAAGCGTTCGCCCAGCGGCCTCGCGCCACGTCTGGATGCGGCCTCTCGGACCAGCCTGGCCACCTGCCCTGATCCTCGAAGGAGAACGCCGTCATAAGAATAAACTTTCGGAGGCCCGCGCAGATTTCTTGGATCGAGGCTGGACTCTGCTGGCGGCGCGACAGCGAGGGGGGGTTGTAGCGCCGATCCAAGAAATCCGCGCTGCTCTCCGAAGGTTTGTGTTTGTGGAGCTTTTCCTCTTCTAGAGCAGCCCGTGCCAATCCAGGCAGTTTTCCGGGCATGGGACTTCTGGCCCTTCGTCGCCACGTTCGCGCTGCTGCAGGCGATCGGCTCGGGCATTTTTATCGCAAACCTCTCGCTGATGACTGGTTCCTACGGCATCCCAGAAGGCGACCGCCTTCAGTACGTCCGGGCCGTCTCGTACTGCAACTGCCTCGGTCGCTTCTGTGCTGGATGCTTAATCGACGTGTGCGAGCGGCACGGGATGCCTCGCGCCGCGCACTTAGTCTGGACAGCAGCGGTATTCGTCTTGGCCGCAGGTGCCCTGCGTGCGGCGCCGGAGAGACTGCTGCCAGGCATGATTTTCCCTGTGGCGTGCGTGATCGGCTTCGGATATGGCGCCAACTGGGCCGTCATGCCCGCGTACGTCTCCGGGCGATTTGAGGGCTCGCACGTCGGCGTGTGCTTCAACATCAACGGGCTCACGATGGCCATTCTCGTGCTCCTCACGTCGTCCGCGGTCGGCAGGATGTATGACGAGGCCGCGGCGGAGGGCGGTTCGAAGGGCGGAGGCGACGCCGTGTTCTGCTCTGGGGCGCACTGCTGGCGAAGAGTATTCGGACTGGGCCTCGCCTTGAGCCTCGCCGGCCTGGCCACGAGCGTGACGGTCGCGTTGCTCGCTCCGCGGCCAGCCGCTCGCAGTGCAGTGCTGTAAGCCCAAAAGACTACGTGGCCGCCGCGGATGCTTGCGGGCGGCCGAGTGTAGCCTCGAATTGCTTCGAGCATGGCGTGGGCAGTCGGGCCACGGGGGGCAGAGAACGTGCCACTCGGGGCCCATTTCGATCCGACTCGGTATCGATCCCGCCCAGTCCGATCCGCTGTGGTTCAGGACGCACAGGCTTCCGACGTCCTGGGTTTTCTGCAATTTCGCGCCGTGGGCTGTTTTCCTGTGAGTTCCGGGGCCAGGAGAGGGCTTCCCAAAGGCCCAAAGGCGAATTACCAGGCCGCCGTGAGACGTCAGGGCTCGCTAACGTGTCAAGCGGGCCTGTGATGAGGATAAATCGCTCCAGGTCGTTCCAGAACTCTCTCACAACGTTCCAGAGCGTTCTGAAACGGCCAGGGCGCTTGATACGTCCAGACCCTGCAGATATCAGATATTTCCGATTGATCTTCATTCGAATGTATCCTCATCCTACTTTCGTCTCAATGGTAATGTGGCGTTTTCCCTGGTGCTGGCCCATGAGTCGTTCTGAATGAACGAGGAGCGTGGTTCCGATAACTGGGATCAAGGGTGGGCGTCAACGTCCTCGGGACCTGGGCTCGAGGCCCTGACTGAGGGCTCAAGAGTTGAGCATTCGATGGCACTGACGGCTTCAGGGTTCGGGGACATGGGAAATGCACTTGGGAGACATTTGCGGGTATCCCAACCAAGGCACTGGGGAGGTGCCTGCGGGCGCCTGGGAAATGCACTTGTGAGGTGCGTGCGAGCAGCCCAGGAAAGGCACTTGGGAGGTGCCTGCGGGCAGCTCAGGAAAGGCACTTTTGGGGGTCTCAGGGCTGATTGGCTCGACGGGTTCGCGGCATTGACGGTCCCCGCGGGGCGGTCCAGGGGCGGTCCAGGGGCCGTCAAAGTGATGAGAAGACGCCTTGGCAGCCTCCTGTGCCGTCTCAGAGCGCTGGAAACCCGAAGAGGCGCGAATGCTAAACTTCTTCACGAAAGCGTGTGAGAAATCAATGATGTTTCCCTCCTGGGGCTCCCGCAGGAGCCTTGGAGGCCTTGGGCCGTCTTGAAGCCATCGTGGGCCGTTCTGGAGCGCTCTTGGGCCGTCTCGTGGCCCCATTGGACCGTCTTGGGGACGCATCGGGGCTCTCTTCGCCCGTCTGGGGACATTATATTACTCTTGTGAAGAAACTTCACGTGGGAAACCCGAATAGGTCTGCGGGAAATATCAGGGGCGGCGGATCGAAGACGCTTAGGGCGAATCACCGCCGCCCCCTGCCTTTTTGGAAGCGCCCATGTGGCCGAACGTTGTGGCCAAAACTTGGGTAAGCTATCGGACGATGTGTTTCCCCGCGCCGTAGTGCCATAGTGGACACACTTCAGGAAACATTTGGGGGACGATGAGGGGGAGCATCAGGAGAGGGAGGAGGAGAAGGAGGAGGAGGAGGAGGAGGAGGAGGCCTCTTGGGAGAATCTTCAAGCACTCTTGGGGCCTCCTCCTGGGGGCGCCTTCTTGGTCCTCTTTTGGGCCTTTTGAGGCTCCTTGGGGGCCTCTTTGGCCGTCTTGGGCGTTCCTGGCCCGTCTGATGCCGTCGGGAGGCGTCTTGGCTGCCTCTCTGGGCCGTTTTGGGGCCTTCTTGGAGCGTTTCAGGACCGTCCGTCTTGGAGGCCATCTTGGGCGTCTTGGAGGCCTCTTTGGCTGTCTTGGGGCCATCTTGGGCGCCTCTTGGGCCGTCATGGGGCCATCTGGGCGGTGAGCGCTCTGGGGGCGATCTTGGGGCCATCTTGGGCCGTCGTCGGGCGGAAACGGCACACGTACCAAAATCTTTCAAACGTTTTCTGTGAACATCAATGATGTTGTCCTCTTTGGGCCGTCCAGGGCCATCTTAGGGCCATCTTGGGACCATCTCGGGCTCTCTTGGGGCCATCTTGGGACCGTCTTGGGACCGTCTTGGATGCCATCTTGGTCCATCCCGACCGTCTTGGGAAGATGTTTTGTAGACGTTGGTGTCTTCATGCCGTTCTCCGGGTGGCCAACGCGATCGGCCGAGACCCCATCGGGCGGGAATTTGGACACGTATCAAACACTTTTGCTTGTTTGGCACGCCGTGCACCCCAGTGGCAAACCACAGGGGGCGGCAGCTCCAGTGGCTTTCGGCCCGTCCCGTCACCGTGGCTGGATCGTGGACCAGAGGCCTTTTGGAGGCCTCTTGGGGGGTCCCCTGGATGATTTCTAAGACTTCACTGACTTTTCTATAGGCCACACTCCTTGATCCGTCTCGGGGTAACTGGGGGCATTTAGGGGGGCTCTCTTGGCGCGTCTTGGTGTCATATTGAAGCCATCTTGGCAGTCTTGGCCTCCCACACAGGCTGCCTTGAGCCGTCGTGGGGCGCTTGGGGGCCCTCTTGAGTCGTCTTTGGTACCTGGGGCTCTCTCAGGCAGCCTTGGGGCTCTCTGAAGGCATCTCCAAGCGAAGTTGAGCCGAACAGGCGAACCGCCGTTACATGTCTTTTGTCAAGTTCTGCTGTGTGGGGCCTTTATTGGCGCGTCTCTGAACCTCGCTGGGAGGCTCTTCTGGACCTCTCGGGAGCCGTCTAAGAGGGCTCCCGAGAGTTCCCGAGACTTCTCGGACACTTGGACTGACTCTGAAGATTCTTACACCATCCGTTTGCCATTCACAATGGTGTGAGCCTTGGGGCACTCCAGTACGTGTTGAAGCCACGCTGGCGGATCCAATTTCTATTCCTTGTTGAAGCCCCCCGCGCGAGTGAAGTATTTTCGAGTTCCGAGGGGGCCCTGGCATGCCATGGAATTACAGTCGGGGCGCAGACATGGGGAACATTGTAGGCTGTAGGTTGTGAAAGGGGCTCGGTGTTCCGTTTCTTGTTGCTCATGGCCCCAGAAGGAGGCAATAATCTTGGGGAGCAGTCGGGTCAGAGCGTAGCCATCTTTGCTCAGAGTATTTAGGCCTACTCATGCCAACTTCGAACCTGGGGCTTGCACTCAGCATTATGCATGTTCTACTGACATCTACACCTGGGCCCAATGGCTGATCGCAGACGCAAGAAATGCCAGTGTGCCGCCATATTCGAAAGCACGAGGAAGGCATTCCATGCGGATGTGTCGTGGGATCTCCTCCCTGGGCGTCTGATTGCGAGGGGCTTCGAGGTTGCGGATCAGGGTGAACTTGCACTTTTTGCTATGTGGAGCGCGCCTCGCAATGTGGATCATCACACACGGGGCTGGCACGGCGTGATCGATCCTGAGCGCCGGGGCGTCATCGAGCAGTGCCCCCCCAGTTCCGTTCGGGAACTAACTGACAAAGCACGATTGGCTGACTATCTTCTCGAAAACGGTTTTTTGGATTTTGCGCCTGTTACAATGATGAGTAAGCAAGAGCTTAGCTCGTCCAGCTGCGGTCAGGACATGGATGAGAGCGGTGTATGGTTTCTGAAGCACGTCTTGATGGCGCGTAATGAAGGAGTGACGGTGCACAAGAATCGCGATGCGTGCCTTGAGGCATGGCTGGCAGTGCCAGAAGCTGAGTGTGGAAATTATTTGGCTCAGCAGGGATCAGGGGCAACGGAAACGGGGGGGTACGTTCAGAGGGGAACGCATCGACCCCAATCGCCTATTCATCGCCGATGTTGGTTTCGCTGTCGGAGGCCCGTCGCCCATCTTGCGGCGATGTATCGCCGATTCGATCTCGATGTTTCCCGCCCCAGGCTGTTCCCCCCCGACCGTTCCCCCTCAAAGGAGTGCCGCGGTTGTTGCTCGACCAAACTGGGCGAAAAGTAACGTTGCGTCTGTACATCTTGATAATGGCGCATCTTCAACACGCGGTACCCTTCGCTTCAGCATTTGTGCGCCGCGATTTTGCTTGTCGCGTACACCCTGACACTTTCGACCCTGAGGATCCAGATCCAGAGAAACATGTTACATCGACGCTTGGAGTGGCAGGCGTTCAGTACTTGTCTGGAGCCGACTGGGCCCACTGCGCAAGCGTTTGGCCAAACATTCGACAGATGATGTCAGAATGCCTCCAGCCATTCCTGGTTTCTTTTGCTGCAAGTGAGAGGCGAGTAGTCGATGGCCCTGCTGGTGCTCGGTCGCTGACATTCGATCTGCTCGGTGCCGACGTGGTCGTTGATGCAGATTTCAAGCCATGGCTTCTTGAGTTCAATCGCATGCCGCAGCTTGCTGCGGTGCCTGGCCACACCTTGATCAGCTCTGCAAGAGAAGCGGTCATAGAAGATATGCTCGGTGCGGTCTTGGATCAAGTGATGAAGGCAAGATGCCTATGCAGTGCGCCTCAAGACTTTCCGGAGGCATGGGATTGTGTAGCTAAATCGTGTGACTAAAATTTCCATGCGCACATATGGCTCGCGCCCACTGCGATGCACGCTGCATTCAGAAATCAGACCAAACTGTTCATCGCTGAGTTTCGTTGCCATTGGATGCGAGTGCTTTGATAAGCGTTCGATTTGTAATCGGTGCCGCTCGAATGATATTTCGTAAGCATCAGCTGGGAGCGTTCAAGCGTGTTCCCTCACACGTATGTTCGTTGACGTTAGGGCCGTCTTCATGGGCGTTCGAGTGCTCAGACACATACTGGGGAAGGGAGGTGCAGTTTCCTACGGCAGGTTTGTCTCGTGTCGACGCGGTGGCGATCTGGACGCGTGCGTTCAAGGTTGGACGTTGCCAGAGCTCTGGAATCGGACGATCCACGTGGTGTCAGGAACCAACGCGCAAGCCGGCACGACACGTATTTGCCGTAATTGCTCAGGCCTCCCCAGTGGGGCAGGAATACGTGGGGACGGAGGAGGGCGTTGCCTCGCCGATGCATCGGCGAAGCGGCCTCATTTGGACCCCGATCATTGCTGATACATCAGAGCCAATGCATCCCCGATGCGGCGCGATCTTCAGATCTCATGTGTGCTCTGGCCCATGCGAGATCTGGACTATAGAGCGGAGGAGGAGGAAGAGGAGGACATCATAATCCCTCCTGTCTTTCTTTCTCACTCCTCCAGGGGTGCAAGAAACGCGAGTCTTGATATGTTTCTGTTTAGCTTGACACGTGTCCCGTTGTTCGGTAGTGCCCTCACGACTTCCGCGTCGCGGGTTCGAGCAGTCAATGCATGTCTGTTGCAATTGTCGTTTCACCCTGGTGTGTTTGCCCACTTCAGCAAGGATTTCACCCCATGCTTCATCTTGAATGCCTTTCATCTTGTCAGTCATAATCGCCGCTTGCGTTCTCACCTGCGTGATATGTGCACTTGAACTTGTGCTCGCTAAAAGACAGTGGGCCCCACAAGGGCAGAGACGTCGCCTCACTACAGGTATGAACAGTTCTTGGCGTACGTAGTGTAGTGGCCTCTGTCTAGTGCCGCCGATCTGGGACGCTCCCGATGGTGCTCGGATTCCTGGCCCGTCGGGCGCCGTTGGGACCCTCGTTGGGCCGTCTTAGGAGCCTCTTGGGCCCTCACAGGGCCACCTTGTAGGCCTCTGGGGCGATGTTGAGGGCCTCTTGGGCCGTCGGAAGACCAACAAGAATGAAGCGCCCACATCCTTACAAAGCCGACCGAAAAAACAATAATTCGGGCCACTTCGGCCTTTTTTGGAGGGCATCCTGGACCATCTTGAGTGCATCTGTAGCCGTCTGGGAAATATCTGGCGGCCATCTTGGGCTCTCTGGCCCCCGGGGTGGGAATTTGGCGGATCTTTACGTGTCCTAGCCCCGCCCAGAAAACAGAGCACAGGCGCCCCTTCCCCTTCCCCCCTTCCTCGGCAGAGCCCCCCCAGCCCCCCCCCCCACAGCAGGGCTCATTTCGATTCCTCCGATTCGATTCGATTCGATTTCGATGGCTTCCGATCTCGATTCGATTCGACTTCGGATCCCGATTTGGGCTCCGATTTCTTATTGGAGGCCTACTAGCCTGCCGATTTACGCCGATTCGACTTTTCCCGACTCGGCTGCCGATTTCCGGCGATCCGATTCATTTCGATCGCCGATCCGACTTATCGATTCGATCCTGGGGGCGCCTGCCACAGAGTTGAAGCTCAGGTTGTAGGCTGTAGCTCAGGCTCTTTGAAACTCACACGCCTGACCGGCGGATTTTGTTGTGTGGGGGGGGGTTGCGGAGATGCGGCCAGATGTGCCGATGATTGTATAATTGACGCTTTTCGTATCCGCGCCAGCTCATCACAAACGATTCCGAGGGGAGTCGCCTTGATCAGAGACGTGTATGAGCACGCAGTGGAACCACGAGGGGTGGGCAGCCGTCAAACCGAAGCTCGGGATCGATCTGACCGGCGCCGGGGGAGTCACATCTCAGTCAGGCCTAGGATGGTGATCGTGTTCTTATTCACTGTTTTGCCCATCGGCGCGGGCCCTCGCAACCCCCCGCTCCCCCCCACGGGGTAGATCTTAGCTGTTTTGGGCGCCTGTTTCGAGCAGGTGGGGTCTCCCCCATCAGACGCACTGTTGCAAACAGTCGCGCCAAGCAGAGGTCTGGAGCCAGACCCCACCCCCCTTCCCCCCCTTCCGCCCAGTGTCGAAGCGCCGAAGAAGAGAACGTTCACACAAGGATAGAGCTCCAGAGCGTTCCGCTCTCGACCTGGCCGCGGCGCCCAGTGCGTCTTCCAGACACGCCCCTTGTCAGTGATTGCCGAATTGCGCGCATCCGACTATATCCTCATCCTGGTTGCTTGAAATTCCTTCAAGGCTCACGTTAACAAGGAAGCGTAGCGTAGGGAGTTGAAGCCAGAGTCTGAAGGCAATGCTCGCCGTGGCCCTCCGACGCCCCAGGACTTCCAGGAGCAGAACGACGAGCTGTCGGAGAGTTTGAAGAAGCAGGCGCCATCCGAGTCCGGAGGGCCAGCAATTGAAGAAGATGTCAACACATATTTTCACAGGACCGCTTGGATCTCTTGGATCGGTGCCGGACCCCCCTTGCGGCACCGCCCATGGCGCGCTCCGCGCGCCAGGGAGGGGGGTCCAATGCCGATCCAAGACATCCGCTCGGATTTTCGAAATTCTTCACGCTTCGCGTATCCCCACCAGCCCATCTCAAAACAGCAACTCTAGCGAACCATGCCGACAGTCGTGTTTTTCAGGCGTGTTTCCGCCTGCCCCCGCATATCTCCCCTGTTCCTCCTTCCTCCCGCCTCCTTGTACATCCTCCTTGTGGTGGGAGCGGGAGAAGGACGAGGCGGAGGAGGAGGGAGAGAAAGCGCTCCTCGTGGTTTGAGTCGTTCGGGTTTCTCGTCCTGGTGTGAGTCGTTCGGGCCCTTCTTCCTGGTGTGAGTCGTTCGGGCTCTTCGTGGTGTGAGTCGTTCGGGCTCTTCGTCCTGGTGTGAGTCGTTCGGGCTTCTCGTGGTGTGAGTTGTTCGGGCCCCTCGTCCATCCTAAATATACATTTGCACTATCCCAGGGGGCTGGTATCGCCCCCCCGCCCCCCCCGCCACCCGCCATCTTCGTGCAGAAAGTACACTGCGCGCACATTCGGTTATCAAGCATCATCAATGTTCAAGAATCCCTTGCAAAACATGGGACGAAGAGCGCACGCGCGCGTCGTCGCGCGCGCATGCCGAAATCCTTCAAAAACCTGCGGTTTCGGAAGGATGTCCAAATCGAGTTCCCAATACACACGCAAAAACACAGGGGTTCGCAACACTGATGTTCTAAAAAAGCTTACTCGCGCGCTCTTGCGAAATCTTAAGGAAACCATCGGTTGTTCAAGATGTTCAACACATACTTACACACGGGCTTCGCGACCGCATGTCGAAGCGAGAATCCTTTAACAAACATGGGACGAAGTGCGCGCGCGCGCGTCGTTGCGCACGCATGCCGAAATCCTTCAAAAACCTGCGGTTTCGGAAGGATTTCAAAATCGAGTGTCCAAAAAGCATACAAAACCACAGGGTTTCGCCACACGGATTTTCAACAAAACCTTGCGCGCGCTCTTGTCCGTAACCATTTTGGCTCAAGTTCCAAACCCCCTTCGGGGGGGTTGGAGTTTGAGGTAGCCGTGGGCTGCTCGTGGGGCTGGCCGGGCGGCCGGCCCCAGCGGCCCGGGCGCGCGGCCGGCGCATGGATGGCGGCGCGCAGCTGCTGCCCGGCTTCGTCTGGGCCTGGTGCGCCGTCCCGCTCCACGGCGGCGCGGCCTTGGCCAGCTGGTCCGCCCTGGGCGACTGGCACGCCCCAGGCGGATGGGCAGGGGGGGGCCCCTGGCGCCACCCGGGCCCGCCGCGGCCGACGGAGGCGCCGCGGCCTTGGCGCCAACCGGACGGTGGTTGAGAACACGCCAGGCGTTTTTTCAAGCAGTCCAGAGGCGGTGCTCAACGCGGAGGTCGAGGCGCTCCAGCAGCAGTGGAATGCTTCCTTCACGCCACCGCGTGCACACGTGCCTGATCGTGATTGCCTTCCTCGTGCCACTGCTGAGGAGATCAGAAGTGCATCGCGGAAGTTCTGCCAGTTCACCTCGTCCACGCTTGACGGCTTCCACCCGAAGCACATATGTTTGCTCGGCGATGCTGGATTGGAGACCTTGAGCGTCCTATTTGAAGGAGTGGAACGTCTCGGTCTCTTTCTTCTGCATTTTCTCTGGATGGTTTTCCCTCTTATCGAGAAGCCAGCAGGGGGGCATCGTGCTATCCTGTTGCTGGCCAGCTTTGTGCGCGTATGGGAACGGCTTCGCCGACCACTGCTGGACACATTCTTTGCCGCCACGGAGAGAGCTTACTGGGCCTTCGGGTCTGGGAAGAGTGCTGAATCCTGCGTTTGGGCCCAGTCGGCCCTTGGGGAGATAGCTGCCGCTGATGACAAGATTGTCTTGGGGGTCCAGTGGGATGGTAAGAAATATTATGAATCATTTCGGTTGTATCTTCTTCGGCAGCGAGCTTTACGATGGGGCAAATCTGGGGTCATAGTCAAAACGATGTTCAATGTGTTGCGTTCTCCGCGGCTGGTAAGGTTAGGACCCGCCTTCCATCCTGTCGCTCTCTTTGCAGAAAGCGGCCTCCCTGCAGGAGACATTTTCAATGATGTCTTCGTAAAGGTGTACGCCATAGGTGCCTTCGACGACTTTACGGCTCGGCTCCCTGCTCCCATTCGACTCTCGAGCTACATCGATGATAACACGATAATGGCTACGGGTGATCGGGCTACGCTGCTCAAACTGGTTCCAGATGCTGCTGGAGATTTCTTTCACACGTATCGAAATCAGCTCAAGGCTGACATTTCGGAAACCAAAGCGATCACCATTTCGAGATCCCCAGAGTTAGCTCGGGCCCTAGCTCGTCAATTGCAGCTCCGAGGGTTCCCTGCTGGTACCATCACGCACTCGTCCGTCAATCTCGGAGTCGATTTTACGCCAGCTCAGATCAGGGCAACTAAAGGGGCCCTTCGGAAGCGTCGAGAACGATTTCGTTCGTTTCGCCTTCGTCATTCGCGAGTTCTTCGATCTCGGAAATGGCTCTCTCACGGTAATAAGCACCGTATGGCGCTTATTCATCAGGCTGGCCTCAAGCCAGCACTGGCGCATGGCAGTTCTGTTCTCGGCATGTCAGACTACCAGTTGCAGCGAGCTCGAGCTACGCTGCTAAGTTTTCGCTCGCCCTCACATCGAGGTGGTTCCTTGCTGGCAAAGATGGTGCTCCACGGCGATCCAATGGCCGACGTATGTCTTGCCCCTGCAGTGTCCTGGTCTGTGGCAGTCTGGCAGGCCTTGGTTGCACCAGAGCGCTCTCTTTTCAGCATCCGCGAGCTTCACAATATGTACACCACCGTGCATGAGAGAATGGAGCCCCACCATCGTTGGCGACATACACGCGGACCCATCTCTCGAATGCTCCTCTCTCTCAGGCGCGTGGGTTGGAAGGCCCGCAACTGCGCACTTTGGGGGGATGATCGAGGAGTAGAAATTTCGCTCATGTACGCGGCCCCGAATATGATCAGAGGCATGCTGAGAGATGCAGCTCAACGTAAGCATGAGTGTGCCATGGCTCGTAGCTTAGACAATTTTGAGCATGCACGCGCGTGTGCTGATGACGTGCGCAATAATGTGTGTAAATCTAAGAAGTGCACGCCACGTCAGAAGCATGCTGTAGCTAGTTGTTTTTGTAAAGCAGTGTTCACATCGGATCGGCTTCAGATTGATAGTGGGCACTGCCCGCTATGTGGAGGCCCCGACAGTGCGTTTCACAGGCTCTGGACGCGCTTCTGCCCCCAAGTCGAGGAAGCCAGGTCCCAGGCTTGTGACCCTGAGCTCGTCCAGGAAGCTGTGCAGGCTGGCCCGCTCCATCCCTTCTGGACCCGCCTCGCTTTTCCTCACCCCTCCCTCACCTTCCACCCCCCTGCAGACATGATCTATCCAGAGCTTTTAGATCCGCAGGGGAATGTAGTGCAGGACTTTGCGATTCTGGAAGGCGTGAGTGATGTTGTTGTTGACGGGTCGTGTACGAGGCCTCAGATTCGCGATCTTGCTCGTGCATCCTTTGCGGGAGTTTTCCAGGCTGGTACTGAGGAGGTAGTTGCACGCTTTCGAGGGCCAGTATGGCCTAGTCTCCCTCAGACCCCTCAGGCGGCTGAGCACATGGGAATCGTTGCGACAAGTCTTTACACTGGACAGCTGGCTCACCAGATAAATGTGCGGTCCGATTGTTTGGGCCCTCTCAGGTACCATAACCTGCCAGCTGTCCAGCAAGTCTCCTCCAGAAATATGCATGCGGGGCTTCGTAGGGGTTCTTGGGAGATAGAGGGATCGAAAAACGTCGGCCCCTGCGCCCGCGCCCCTGCCCGCCGCAGCATGGAGGCAATTGACCACCTACCGCAAGATGAGCGGAGGATCGCGAGAGCTAACTTTCTAGCGGATCGATTTGCGCAGGAAGCTCTTGCGATGCACGCCCAGGAACCTCAGGCCTCATGGGGTGAATTGAACGCCACGATTGGCAAGGTCCGCGCTGTGGCTCGGGTGATGGGCTCTGTGCTGCCCCTTTTCCCGTCATCCCAGTTCCCTGAGCGTCAGAAGGCCCCCCCCCGGCCAAGAAGTGCGGGCGCGCGCCGCTGGCATGCTTGGACGGCAGTGCCTGGCGCACCTGGCTCTTTCGTCTGTCATGATTGTCATGCACGTCGCACAGGTTCGAATGCGGCTTCACTTGGTACGTCGGTGCCCTGGAAGGAGACAGAATGTCTCTTTTCTCGCTCGCCCGACGCTCGGACACGACCTGGTCTATGCGCGGCGGTCGTCAGGTCCCGATCTTGGATTTTGCAGGCGGTTTGGCGCCTACAGCACAGAGCGCCTCAGCCACCAGTTGGAAAAGCAGTGTTGTGGATATGTAGTATCCTCTGCGAGTAAGTGCCGCCGCAATCGCATGCTCCGTGGTCTACACCCCCAGTCCAATCGAGCTGCCCCAGGTGTTGTGCCCCATATCTTAAGTGATGCGGAGCGTCAGAGGCTTCTGGGTACCCAGCAGCGCCCCCAGCGTGCTGCGTGGTTTCAGTGCCCACCCGTTGATCTTCCAGGCAGCAGTTTAATCCCAGGACTGGAGTGGTTGAGGCAGCGGATAGCAGCACGAGAGGAGGCGGCTGGTTTTCAGGATCATGTTTTGAGGGCTCCAGAGCAGCAGCGATCTGCTCAGGAGCCCCTCCAGGGGATGCAGGGACAGGCCCAGGAGCCGTTTGCTCCAGAGCTTGACCTTGAGGCTGAAGAGGAGGCCGCCAGCTTCCTCCACAGATACACAGGTTTGAGTTTTACCCTGCGGGGCCAAAAAATCCTGCTCATCATCCTTCGCCTCTTCCTCATCCTTCTCCTCCTCTTCCTCCTCCTCCTCCTCCTCCTTCTCCCCCTCCGCCCCTCCTCCCGCTCGGATCCCGCTCCATCCCCCTCTCTCCACCTCGAGCCCCTCCTCCGTCCTCGACAAATCACCGCGCCGCGGGCATTGTCGACCTGGTCGCGTGGACAGACTCCGACTGGGCAGGCGACACGAAGGAGCGGAAGAGCCAGACCAGCGTGCACATCACCGCACGTGGGTGTCGAATGTTCGGGATCAGCTGTCGCCAAGACGCGCAGCCCCTCAGCAGCTGCGAATCCGAGTGGCGCGCTGGAGCTCGAGGTCTCAGCGAAGGACTCGGGCTGAAGGCGCTCTTCACGCTCATGGGCTACAGCGTGCGCATGAGCTGGCGACGCGACAGCTCGAGCGCGAGAGCGCTAGCGAGGCGTCAGGGCACAGGGCGGATCAAGCGCCTTGCCACCGAGACGCTTTGGACACAACAGATGGTGGCCAAGAAGATCAGCATCATCGAGCCCGTAGCTGGCGACGACAACCTGCCGGATATCGGCGCAACGGTGTTGCCGAGGACACGCCTCGAGTGGCTCCGAGAGAGCTGCGGATTGAAGGAGGTGCCCGTGCCAGGGGCCTCGAGGGTAGCTGGAGTCGGGGCCATGCCGACCGACTTCCAGGCCCAGTCAAACCTGTTGAAGGCGTTGCGTACAGCGGCTGCGTCGCCCCCCGCGGCGGCGCTGGGGCACTCGACCGAGCTGTGCGAGGCGCCGCAGGAGATGGACGGGCGTGCGTTGACTTCGGCGGCCATGCCAGGAGTCACGACTGAGGGCTACTACGTGGGCCTGACTCTGCTGATGGCGGGCGTGAGCATTGGGCTCCTGCTCGCATTGCTAGGGTTTTCCTTGGTTTGCTGGTGTTGTCCGCGTGCGAGGCCGAGTTGGTGCCGCGCGGGCGCCCTGCCGCGCGCTGGCGACGGCGGGGGGCCACGGCGCGCTCCGATCGAGGGATCGAGCGAGCCAGCAGTGAAGCTCAAGACTAGGAAGGGCGACCGCAGAAGGACGGTTGCCACCCAGAGCCAGGTCAAGTACACCTGGTTGACGACCGGCCCCCGCTTCCAGCCTTTGGGACCGAGAGAACAGGGGGCGTGGTCCGAGTAGGGCCTTGGGCCGTGTACTGTTTAGATGCGCCATTACGCGAGTCTAGACCTCCGCGACTACGCGTTGAGGCACTGCGGGCTTTAAGTTTCACTTCCTAGGTCCCTGGAGGGAGTGGTGGCCCGAGGGGTGTCCGAGGAGGACGGGCTCACCACCCGCCCCCGCTCGGCCAGGCGGCGTGCTCGGGATCTTGAGTGATTCGGGGCGCCATCAAGTCGGAGCATACCCGCAGGCCCTTTTGTTCGAGCTGCGTCGAAGGAGAAAGAGCCCCAATTTTCGCTTTCCCACCGCATCCGCGTAACTTCCGCCATAAATGAGGACGCGTAGCCTGACATAGCATGGTGTGGCGACGCCCCAAAGTATGGGGGGGCTTCCGCAACTGAAGCATTTACGAATCGACACCGAATGTGTAATCACGTCCGATGTCCTTTTCGGAGGGCCATGTTTAAAAACATGTTGGGGCCGATTTGGAAGGACCGAAACCACGCCGTGGCATGGCAGTGGGAATAATGACGCCAACGCTGCAGTGGGAGCGCGATCCAGGATGAGCGGAAGCGCGGAAATAAGATCAGCGCTGCAGCCGGAGCAACATTCGGAACGAGCGATAACCCAAAAATGAGGCCAGCGTTTCAGCGAGACCAGCATTTTTGTAAAAAACCCAAGCGGAAACCCAACTCCTGGAATCCTGTGTGTAAAAAACTGGTGCGCGGAAGGGGGGTCCGACATTTGCCCGACGCAACCAGGGGTGAAAGGACAGTGGTATTCAGACTGTGTTGTTGTGAGGATGAAGAGGGGGAGGAGGACGAGGAGGAGGAGGAGAGAAGGAGGAGGGAAAAGAGGAGGAGGGACAAGAGGAGGAGGAATAGTAAAAGGAGGACCACACAAGCCTAGCCCCGGTGGACATGCACGTCAAAGCTAGGTGCGTGCCAGAGCCCCCAGGGCTGCGGAAAAGACCGGAGGACGGGCCAGGAGAAGGAGGAGGAGGGGGAAAAGGAAACAGGGAGAGAGCCGTGTCTCCTTCGGGTCGGGCGTCTTTGAGGCGAAAACCGAAGGGGAAAACCCCGAGCGAGGGAGGCGTCACGACCCCCGGCCCCCCCCCCCCCCCCGACCTTTCCGGGGACCACCCCTCGGGACCGCCCCCCGGGACCCCCCCAAGGACCCCCGCCCGCGGGGAACGCAAGAAGGGAAAGGGTTTACCGCGACGTTTTTTCGAGATTGTTCGATCCCCTCTTTTGTTCGTTTTTTTTCCCTCTCAACGACGACGACGAATCAAAGGAGGCTGGCGTATTCAGTTTGGGATGGGCTGGCCTCAAGGGCCTTTGACACACGCCGACAGGGTCGGCGGATTTCTGTTGGTTTCGGGACTTCCCGTCCCAACGTGGTGCGTTTTGCCTGGAACGGGGGGCTCTGCGCGACGGGGCCGATGCACTCGTAAAGGCGTGCACCCGCGGAGCGACCGAGGCATAAGTCCTAACTCGATGCTTGCGCAGTTCCATGGGATGGTGGGCATTTCGTCGGGTGCGTGCGCTCTGTCCTGCTCGTTCCCCCGCACGTCAGTATACACGTGGAATCACGGATGCGCATTTGCCTGAAATCATGCATGTGCGTACGCACGCATGTATGTCATCCCACATCGTGTAATGTGGTTATGTTCTGTCTTGCGCAGCCCCCCGCTCACAACTATTACCCTGGCATGCTTTGCAAATTCGAACGTCATCGATCTTTGTAAGCCCTGTCGGCTTGACGCCGACCCGTGTTCCGAGCCGCGTCCACCCGCCGCGACGACGAACGAAGGCCAAACAGCGACGGGGAGGAGGAGAGTGTGCAGGAGAAGGAACAGGAGGAGGGAGAGGAGGAGGAGGTGGAAGAGGAGGTGGTTTCCCATCCCCTTCGCCATGCGGGAAAGGATCCTGGGGGAAACGAGCCCCTGACACCGAATCCCCAAGACCAGCTCTTCATCCCAAGTCGTTCTTTGACGGTCCAGGGGCCCAGGGACGCTGTGGGAGGGGAACAATGATTTGTGACGTGGTTTCTCCATCGGCTATACATACATGTAACCCCAGGAAGCATTTAAGAACCCCCCCCCTTCCGGCAAATCGATAACCCTTCCGCACCCTGGAAGCGTTACCTGGCACCAGGAGCCCTCCTCCTCCTCCTCCTCCTTGAGAATCCTGCGGAACTTGTATGAAACCTGATGGATCCATTCAAGTCGTTAGGAGTCATCAAATATGCTTGCGAATATTAATACTATTATCATTGCATGAATTTTCCAAGCAGCAAGCGACATCCTGAGTCTATCATGAGAGCCACGCAGATTTGAATTTCGAATTTCGATTGTAGCCCAGGGGCCAGGCCTCCGCGAATTTGTTGTGTGTCCGGGTGCTAAACCTATCGTGCGGTTATTGAATCGCTTCGCTCATTCCGCCGGCCCGTGATATGGCATCGCTGGTTTTTGTCTGTGTGTTCGTTGCCCATGTTGCGCTCTTGGGGGCGCTAGTCGTTCGGACGCGTTGCGTGGGGAGTTTTGATGGTGAAGCAGTTCCCTGGGGGTCGTCTCTCGATGGGGCGAAATAGAGTCGTCGTCAAGATGCTTCTTTGGGGGGCCTCTTGGGGTCTGTTGAGAGGCCGTTCGGGGGCGCCTGGGAGACATGTTTGAAGCCTTCTGGGGCTTCTTTTGGGCCTCCTGGGAGTCTCCTGGGGCCTCTTGGCGACATCTTGGGGCCTCTTGGAGGCCTCTTGGGGCCTCTTTGGGACCTCCTGGGCGCCTTCTGGGACGGAGGGCTCCATTTTTGAGTTCTCGGTATCCCTCCTGAGTCCCTCTTGGGCCCGTCTTGGGGCCTCTTGGTCCGTCTTGGGCGGCACTTGGGCCGTCTTGAGGGCTCTCTTGGGTCGTTTCGGCGCCGTCTTGGGAGCTTCGTGGGCCGTCTTGGAGCGGTCTTGGGGGCCTCTTGGGCCGTCTTGGAGCGTCCGGAAGCCGAAAAAGCCAGAACACAAAAAACATCGAAAAAAACCAATGAAAATCAACGATTTTGGCCTCTTGGGGCTCTCTTCGGAGGCCTCTTGGAAGGCTCTTGGGGCGTCTTGGAGGCCTCTTGGGCTGTCTTGGGGGCCTTTTGGGCCGTCTTGGGGTCATCTTCGGCGTCTTCGAGCGCTCTTTGGGCGTCTCGGGGGCCTCTTGGGCAGTCTTGGGGGCCTCTTGGGGCACTCTGAGCGCGCTCTGGGGAGCCTGAGAGGCCGCACCCAGAAGGAAAACCATCTCTGAGTAGACTTGGTCGGGCGGCGACCGGGCGTTGGTCGGGGTACTTTTCGCCGGGGGACCCCCAGGGGCCGCCCCGCGCGCGCGAACTAGAAATACTGTTAATACTGTTAACCAGTTACCGGAGATCTTAGCACGCCCTGGCCCGTTGGGCCGGCGAATTTCGGCCCCTCGGAATATCGAATAAAAATGCGGTGCTAAGATATCGCCGGGGGGGTTCTTAAATGCTTCCTGGGGTTAAGCCTTCGCCAGGGCGACCTCGGTCGTCGCCGCTTTCCGGGGGGGGGGGGCAGGGTTGCTGAAGCAGCGCGTGCAAAGTCAATGTTGGCCAGAGCCACTTTTGCGTCTAGCCGAATCCAGGGCCCTGTCCGTCCACGTTGACGCTTGCCCTCCGCCGAACCCGCGCGAATGCCGCCGAGCCCCGCCGTGCAGGTGCAGTTTTGCGGCACGCAGCACCGCGAGCTCTTGCGGCGACAGGCCTGGATCGTGACGACGGCGGCGACGGCAACGCCGAGAGCGGCGGGGACGGCGACGACGGTGACGGCGAGAGCGACGGCGAACGCGACGGCTACGTTCCAAATGACGCCTGCGGCGGAAGCGTCGGCAATGGCGATGGCGATTGCGTCGGCGACGGCGACGACGGCGGCGACGGTGATGGCGACGACACTGGCGTCGGCGACGGCGACGAGCCAGCAAAAGCGATGGCGACAGCGTAAGCGAAAGCGCGAAGGACGGTGCCAGCACATGGTCGCCTTTGCCGTCGTCGCCCTCCTCGCCCTCGTCGCCCTCGTTGTCGTCATTCCCCTTTCTGTCGCCGTCGATCCCCCGACGGCCAAGGCGGCGGTGGCGGCGACGGCGCGGGCGACGGCGGCAGGCCCAGATCATGCTGGAGGACCTCACCTCGCAAGCGGAGGCCTGCGGCCACGTCCTCGAAGGCCTTTCCAAGCGCAGCCTCGGCCGACGAGAACGACGACCACGACCACGACCACAACCACGACCTTGATTCAAGGAGTGCAGCGGCGACACGCGCGGCGACAACGACCGCGTCGGCGAACGGCGGCGAGGGGCATCGTATCCGCATGTCTTTGGTCGCATGATGAGTGGTGATCCCCCTGCGCTGCACAGCATTGACTCGCAGTTTTGCTCGTGACCGGATGACCTTGGTCAGAGTCCAAGGTTCTCTGCTATCAGTCGCATTTGTGTTGTCGATATCAAGTCAGACTATTGTTGCCATCGTAGCCATTCGGTCTCAAGGGCGTGCTGCCGTTGGAGCAACGGCAGAAATACGATGCGCGCAGGGCATCTGCCCGATCCCATGCGCAGTTCTCTGCCCAGTCACGCCACAGAACCGCCACAGGCCTGCCCGCTCTCCTGTCGGAGCTGGAGGCCGAATTCGATTGGCTGCTGACAAGGCAGCGCCGGCAGAAGACAGGGACAGGTTCAACAGACACCTGCTCAACAGACGACTGGTTCAACAGGGACAGGTTCAACAGACGACCGGTTCAACAGACACCAGTTCAACAGACGACTGGTTCAACGAAGACTGGTTCAACACCACCGGTTCCGCAGAGCCAGTTCCTCGGAACCGGTTCCATAGGTTGGTTGGTTGGTTGGTTCCGCAGGTTCTATAGGTTCCAATCGGTTCCAATAGGTTCCATTGGTTCCTGGAACCGGACCCAGGTTGGTTCCGCCGGTTCCGTTGGTTCCATTGGTTGGTTCCGCAGGTTCCGTTGGTTCCCAGAACCAGTTCCACAGGTTTCAATAGGACCGGTTCCGCAGGTTCCGCAGGACTAGTTTCACAGGCCAGGTTCCGCAGGACCCGATCCAAGGACCAGACCGGTCCACTGGCGCTCCAGACATTCCAGGCACTCTAAATATTCTGGACCAGGCAATCGAGCCGGGTGCTCCGGCACCCGCCCGCCCGCCCGACCCAACCCGCCCGTTAGGGCACTCGCGTGCCAAGTCGACGATGCGCAATTCTTTAATGTCCCGCCCGCCCGAACCGACCCCCCCGCTCGTCAGGGTCCGCCCGCCCGACCCGACCCGTCCCGCCCGTTAAGGTCCGCCAGACCCGTCCCGCCCGATCGGGTATTCGCGTGCCAACTCGATGATGCATCATATTTTAATATCCCGCCCGCCCAACCCGACCCGACCCGCCCGTTAGGGTCCGCCCGCCCGACCCGACCCGTCCCGCCCGTCAGGATCTGCCCGAGCTCCCGGCCCTTACCGCCCATTAGGGTACCCGCGTAACAACTCGATGACGCATCATACTTTCATCCGCCGCCCGCGCGACCCGACTCGGACCGCCCGTTAGGGTCCGCCCGCCCGACCCGACCCGACCCGCTTGTTAGGGTCCGCCGCCCGACCCGATTCGACCCGCCCGTTACGTCCCACCTCGATGATGCGCCATATGCTAATTCCCCGCGCCCGCCCGACCCGACCCGACCCGCCCGTTAAGGTCCGCCCGCCCGACCCGACCCGACACGCCCGTAAGGGCCCGCCCGACCCGACCCGACCCGACCCGTCCCGTTATCTTCCGCCCGACCCGTCCCGCCCGAAAAGAAACTCGCGTGCCATTTCGATGATACATCATACTTCAATGTCCTGCCCACCCGACCCGACAGCCCGTTAATGTCCCGCCTGACCGACCCGAGCCCCCGGTAGGGTCCGCCCGCCCGACCGGTCTTTTATCTCTCCATTCTCCGATCACCCCTCGTCGATGTTTTTTTTCTTATGCTTCATCCCTCCTTCTCTCATCCTTCCACTTCTGGGCTCAGAGATGTCCGCATTTGAGGTGATCCGATTTGGTTTGGCCTGTTTCCCCGAGACCCCGTGTGCCCAGTAGCATGTGCACGGCGTGTCGCAAATACAGGGTGTTTTTTGGGGGCTGTTCCAGTTGACGTTTCCTTCTCCTCTTTTTCCTCCTCTGTTTCCTCCTCCTCATCCTCCTCCCTCCGTATTCCCTCATCCCTCGTACCCTCCCACTTTTCTTCATCCTTCATCCCTCATCCTTCCGCCCTCCTTCCCTTAATCCTCCCTCCCTCATCCCCCCTCTATCCTTCCTGGATCCTAATCCTCACCTCCCTCATTCCTCCATCGTCCCTCCCTCCCTCGTTCCTCCTCCGTCCTTCCCGCTTCCCTCATCCCTCATCCTTCCCTTCCTCCCTCCCTCGCCTATTTCTCCTTCCCTCATCTTTCATACCTCCATCATTTCTCCTTCATCCTCCGTCGAGAAGTGTTACTGCGGACGCGGCCTCTGGGGAAGCAGTTCCAGGGCGGAGGGCATGGAAACGCTTCCAGGGAAAAGAGTCCGGGGAAACGCATCCTGGGAAGCGATTCCAGGGAAACGGCTCCAGGGAAACGAATCCGGGGAAACGCCTCCGGAGAAACGGTTTTGGGGAAACGGTTCCAAGGAAACGGTTCTGGGGAAACCGTCATCAGCGGAAAATGTCTTTGGGAAAGAAGTCTCCGGGGAAACGGCCTTCCGGGGAAATTGTTCCAGGGAAGCGGTTCCAGGGAAACGGTTCTTGGGGAAGCGGTCTTGTATCATCCAGATTGACGGTTTCGATTGAGTACGCTTTGCGACAGGGGTGCGAGTTCGAGGATCTCTGTTGGTGGACCAGGGCAATGGCAAGGCTTTCGTCGCGATGCATCACGTTGTCACTGCGGGCGGCAGCACAGGGAACGCAACGGCGACGAGGCATGACAGTTTATCGTTGACGACTGGCGCCGCAAATCGGAAAGTCGCTGGGGATCAGATCGGGCCCTGAGGGCAAGTACCGCCCCCGCGACCTGGACGGCCGCGCGGCTGACGCGAGCATCATCTGGCATCCAGAGCCCGCCGAAGCGCGCTGGAACACGGGGCGCGTCGAGGCCACGATCAGCATCGCAAAAGAGGCTGCGACGCGCATGGCTCATTTGGACCTTGCTGGCCCCGCGAGGGACGTCTTCCAGTGGGCCACCGCGGCGCGCAACGAGATGCCCTACAGCGACAGCGTTAGCCCTGACGTGATAATCCCGGGACGTGCCCTACGCCCGATGGATGGCGAGCTCCAGGGCGCCGCGCGCCAACTCGAGGCCGAAACGCGTGGCGGATCACCCGCTGAGGCGCGCGTGCGACGGCGCATGCCAGCAAGACAGCCCCACGCTGGAGCCCAGGCCGACAAGAAGCTCAAGCTAGCGAGGTTGGCCAGGAGTCGACCCCACAAGTTCTCCGAGCGCGGCGAGTTGGTCGTCGCGAGGAGGGGGCCCGGGACCAAGGGCCGCAACGAGACCGCCAAGAGTTCCAAGGGCGAGAGCATTGGACCTGCTGTCGTGCTTTCGCACCGTCGTGACCCCGAGGGCGGCAGGCATCGTGGCATCGTTTTGCTCTTGCACCGCGACCGCGCGCAGTCTGGCTTCCGAGGCAGAGACGACCCTCCACGAGATGGGCGCCAAGACGGCCCGCCCCCTCTCCAGCCACGCCGAGGCCGCGACCGACAGGCTAGCGCAGGACATCCCTGGGTCGGGCCCTCCAGCCGAAAATGGCCGCAACATGGGCGTCGAAGAGTTCGAGCCCTCTCAAGAAGCCGAACCACCTCCCGGCTCTGGGGGGGGGCCAGGCATTCGCGAGCGAGCCCCTGGAGGCTCCAGCGCCGGCAATGCCGACGGCGGGCCCGCCGCCGGGGCCGAAGTCGCCCGAGGGGCCCGGGGGCCAGCCGCCTCGCGGATCTCAGCCCGCGCTTCCACGGCCCGCGCCAGCGGCTCCGAGGCGGGTCCGCGACCCTGGACGACGCGCCGGTGAGTATTCGCCAGTACTTGGAGCGATCGCCCGAGGGCGAGTGGGTGGAGCCGCCGCGGGGCCATCGGACCAGGCGCGAGTTGCCTTCGCCAACGTGGGCAACCAGGAGTACGTCTACACCGTGGCCCTCGATTCCCGCCATCCCGCAGACCGAGGGCGGCCGGAGCTTCTGGCGCAACCGGGCGGCCTGGGCAGCGGCTGCCACTCGCAAAAACCAAGAGCCAGATGCGGAACATGAGCTCAGGACTTCGGCGGCCAAGGCGCGCCAGATCTCCGGCTTGCTGGCCAGCGAGGCGGCCGGGCGTGCTCTGCGCGACTCAGGGGAGAAGCCCATGGAGATGCGCTGGTGATTAACGGTCAAGAGCGACGGCGCGGCCAAGGCCAGCCAATTGCTCTTGGGTTTTCAGGGTCGCCAGCTGGGGGCCGCGGCCGCAGCCGGTCCGACAATCTCGGTTAGGGGGTCGCCGCTCGGCTTTCCAGGCGAGCGCCGATCTCGAGTTCGGGCTCTTCAAGGGCGACGTGGGTGCGGCTTCTCCGCAACCCTGGCCATCGCTGGCAAGGATCCTGGTGGAGCCAGCGAATGAGCTCTGGGAAGCCACGACGCCCCCATGGAGTGCGTCGACGAGATCTCCCTCGAGATGACCTCCGCAGCTTGAGTCCCCATGGACTTGGAGCCGTGCTTGCGCGCGCTGTGCGACGGCCATGCGATCGCGGGCATTGCCGTCGCTCGCGTGGGCGACGCGGCCATCGGGGTGGGCGCGAGCAACGCCATCCGAACGAGATTCTGAAAAAAAAAAAAAAAAAAAAAAAAAAAAAAAAAAAAAACTCAAGGGTCACTGAAAGTGGGGCCAGTGGGGCCCCTCTAAGTTCATCCAGGCCGGCTTCGAGATCACGCAACTCGCGGACGGGGCCATCCAGCAATCGTTCCAGAAGGCAGCCAAGAAGGCGACGATGATCGAAGGGTGACAGAAGCCCCCCAACGGGAAGCTCGAGGACAAGGTACCTCCTGCGGGCAAGACGACCTGCCTGGCCGCCATCGGTGGCCTGCAGCACTTGCCGAGCCAGGGCACGCGCCTCATTGTCGCAGACACGATCATCGCAGCCTCCTACCTGAACGAGGCGACCTACGGGACGGTGCAGAAAGATCAGTAAGAT